TCTCAAAGGATATATACAAGTTCTGCCTATCTCGCAAAATATCACACTTCAAGCGGAATACCTACCGGGAACTTCCAGCCTGATGACAGGGTGGTTCTCTCGCCATTGGAAAGACAACAGCGATTGGAAACTCGACGCCACTGGAAGGACCCACTGATTCTAGATCTATTTGCTTTTCGGACCCAGGGCCGGCCTTAGGGGTGTGCGAGCTGTGCGACCGCACAGGGCGCCATGGAACAGGGGGCGCCCTGTGGCCGACACAGCTCACTCATGGCCGGAGTGCAGGGGAGCTAAAAGAGGTACCTGGCTGGAGGATTAATTGTTCTCCACCCAGGTCTATTTAAAAAAAAAAAAATCGCGGCAGAGGGGGCGGGGTTTACCGAGCGGCGGAGGCGGGGCTTATCGAGAGGCGGAGACGGGGCTAATACCTCCCGAAGCCCCTGCTGTACAGGAAGAGGGAAAGATGCTTCCCCATCAGCCAACTGCATCCACTGGAAAGAGGTAAGTGTGTGTGTGTGACTGTTTGCCTGTTTGTGTGACTGTCTGCCTGTGTGTGTGTGTGTGACTGTCTGTCTGTGTGACTGCCTGTCCTTGTGTGTGTGTGTGTGTGTGTGACTGTCTGTCTCTGTGTGTGTGTGTGTGACTGTCTCTGTGTGTGACTGCCTGCCTGTGTGTGACTGTCTGTCTGTGTGACTGTCTGTCTGTGTGACTGCCCATGTATGTGACTGCCCATGTATGTGACTGCCCATGTATGTGACTGCCTGTGTGTGTGACTGTCTGTCTGACTGTCTGTCTGTGTGACTGTCCCGTGTGTGTGACTGCCCGTGTGTGTGACTGCCTGTGTGTGTGAGACTGTCTGTCTGTGTGACTGTCTGTGTGTGTGACTGTCTGTCTGTGTGTGTGACTGCCTGTGTGTGTGACTGCCTGTATGTGACTGCCTGCCTGCCTGTGTGTGTCTGTCTGTAACTATCTGTCTGTGTGTGACTGCCTGCCTGTGTGTGTGACTTTCTATCTGTGTGACTGCCTGCCTGTGTGTGTATAACTGTCTATGTGTGTGTTACTGTGTGTCTGTCTGTGTGTGTGACTGCCTATGTGACTGTCTGTCTGTGTGTGTCGCTGTAGCTGTGCCATTGTTTGTGCCTGTGCCTGTATGTGTGACTGCCTTTAACTGAGTGTGTGTGTACATGCCTGTAACCGAGTTTAAATTTCCCCCACCCCTTCCTGTCAAGGCCGCACTTTGACTGACAGACGCTCACTCACTGACAGACGCACACTCACTGACGACACATACACACTCACTGACGACACATACACACTCACTGACTGACACATACACACTCACTGACTGACACATATACACTCACTGACCAACACACACATTCACTCACAGACACACACACATTCACTTACAGACACACACAATTACACACTTACAGACACACACACACACACACACATTCACTTCAAAATAAACACTCACAGACACACACACAGACATTTCCACTAACACTCACAAACTAATATTTTTTACATTTATTTTAAATCCACCCAGCCTCCCTGGGAAAGCTGGAGTGGATTTCTTACCAGCAGTCCAGTGTGGCTGCTGGGCAGGCAGGCAGGGGGCGCACAGGCTGAGTAAGCAGCGCTTAGTGATGCCGGGAGCCGGACTGACGTCATATTCTGGCTCCCGGCTTCATTAAGCGGCGCAGAGGAAGCTGAGCAGGAAGAGCTCAGGTGAGTATGCTCCTTCGCTGCCCGCTGCCAGCCTTGGGGGGGCTCAAAAGTGGCCAGCCGGTCAGCTCTTGAGCCCCCCAGGATGCGAGGCAAGCAAGGGATCTGCCTGGGGGTTTGGAGGGATGCTTTTTTTTGCCGCCCCCTGCAAAGTGGCGCCCAAGGCAGATGCCTTGTTTGCCTCGTGATACACACGTCCCCGGTGCCTGTGTGTGTTACTGTATTCAGGCAACTTGGTGGGAGGTGGGGGGGGGCGCCGTGAAGACTTTTTGCACAGGGCGCCTAATTGCCTAAGGCCGGCCCTGTTCGGACCAACCACCAACTTCCGAACTACTACAGTTGGCTCCCGGATCCGAATTGCGAAGCAGTAGATGCATTCCTACAAACATGGCCGAAGCACGGGGCATATGCATTTCCCCCGTTCTCCATGATTGCGAGTGTGCTCCATCACATACGTACACACAAGATATCTCTACTTCTCATAGCTCTACTTTGGCAGAGTCAGGCATAGTTCTCGGATTTATTGGAGATGTCCCACAATGCTCCGCTTCTACTACCTTCCTTCCCTCTACTTCTGATAGGACCACGAGGGGTACCTCACCCCCTCGTACTAGATCAGAAGCTGGACCTAGTGGCCTGGATGATTTCAGGGGTTCCTGGTCAGTCCATGGCCTATCGCAATTGGCTAAGGATCTCCTAAGGGATTCATGGGCTCCCGGCACCAGGAGATGTTATATTTCCGCGTGGTCCGCCTGGGGTAGTTGGTGCCTGGAGAGGGATTCCGATCCCTTTACTGCTCCTGTCCAATTGATCCTCAACTATCTCTCACATCTGTTTTCACTAGGTCGGTCATAACGATTCCTTAACGTGATTGCATCAGCCATTTCGGCAGCACATGTGCCGGTACAGCGCATTTCGGTGGTTCAGGACCCACTGGTTTGTCGGTTACTACGGGGTGCTAAGTTGTCAAGACCTCCAGCACTGAAATATTCACACCTCTGGCATGTGGATGTGGTGCTGTGTTTCTTGAGGGAGTGGCCGGATAATTCGTACCTTTCACTGAAACAACTTTCAGCCAAACTTACCCTCTTGCTATGTCTCGTCTCGTGGCAGACGTCAGGGCGTTTGATGTCGACGGTTTCTCCTTCACTCCAGCAGGGGTTACTTTTAAGATAACACGCCATACTAAGTCGGACTACTCTTCGGTTTTTTACCTGTTTTTTATAGCAGACCCCAGACTATGTGTGGTTAAGACGTTAATCCGATATACCGAAGTCTCAGCTCCTCTCCGAACTTCTTCGGCGGGTCAGCTTTTTTTTATTTCATACGTGAAGCCTCATGGACCGGTGTCTACTACAACACTGGCCAGATGGGTCCGCTGGCTTCTATCGTTAGCCGTCGTTGAACCATGCTTTGGGGCCCACTCGGTAAGGGGTGTGGCTGCTTCACAAGCTTTCTCGGCAGGAGCCACTCTTGCCGACATTATGCATTGTGCGAATTGGATGCGCGAGAGTACTTTCAGGACGTTTTATTTCAGGCAGACTTCTCATGCCTCTTTAATTTTGGTTAATTCTTAGCGTTAAAAATGCAAATATGAAGCCTCCTGTCATGTGGTAAAATTGTAGATTATGCTAATGTAGTGTATCTATAATCTTAATTTTAGTAATGACAGGAGGCGAGTATTTCCCACCCTAATCTTTCCCTCCCATTGTGGCTGTGATTATGTAACGTTCTATATTTTCTCTGGTTTAACTTTATAAGATCGTTATGTGTTGCAATTATATAGCATCGACATTGTAAGATTAGTCTCTCTTGCTATCATGACATGCATAATAGTTAGTACACAGATGAATGTTCATTATATGCGGGCAACTAGCCACTTCAGATACCTTTCACTTTTTTCTTTTTCTTTCAGCGTGATTGGCTGTCCCCACCTTTCTGTTTATCCATCTGAAATTCTTACTGGATTTCGGAAGACGTTGGATTTCAATTTGGACTTATGTTGTTGGTCAAGTTTTCTGTATTATTCTACCTGTTTTATATACTCGCTACAAAGAAAGAGCAAGTGATGTAACTGTCAGGGCCTTTTATGTATCACCTGACTTTTTTCTGATTGGTTGCTTTTGTTTCTGCTGGAGATTTTCAGTAAAGAGAGTTATGCAAATACTCGCCTCCTGTCATTACTAAAATTAAGATTATAGGTACACTACGTTAGCATAATCTACAATTATCTTGGCAATTACAATGGAAAATAGAAACAAAGAATAGAGAGTGTAATCTGTAAAATAATGTAAAACGCACTATTGCAACACCACTCACATTTAGAGTAGCCGTATCACGCTCTATACGAAAAGGCCAAGGATGCCTATCCAGGCATAAATATCACATCCGTGCAGAAGAAATGGAGAGCGGGAAACTTTAGATTAAAATATTTATTATGAAGCAGTAAAATTTATAACAAGATATTGGCTGGGTACAATGCCTTTGAATGTGGTGATAGAAAATGCAACTAAAGATAAATCTCTAACACTACAGTCCTGGTGTCCCTAGTTAGTTCAGAGATACCCCAGGTGTCATAAAAAAAAAGAGAATTAAAAGATATAAAACAAATTACTCACCTTTTCTACTATGCTGAGTTTCCCTGCTGCGGCAGCCTACTCTTTGGCTGATGTCATACTGCAGGAGTGCCTCCAGCATGACAGTACAATCCACTGCCCCTTATAGAGGAGCATTGGGCACCATAGGCACTTGTGCTACAATTGCCGCAGTGCGCCTACGATTCTGCCACAGAGAAGCATTGAATATGATCCTTTATGGCAGACTGTGACGGCATTGCGCATGCATGAGTGACATCACGGTACGAGTGCTAATAAGTAAGAGTCCCAGCTCTTAAACCCAGAGAGCTTGGAAGTGTCACTTAAAGCTGCAATTCTACTAGAATACTTCTAATTATTGAAATAAAGGAGCTGGGGGTGTTATTAAGTTGTTATAGTTCCTACAGTGTTCCTGTAAAACTTCAGGCTAAAATAGCTGAACTAAAAACAGGTTCTTCAGAGATTTTTTTCCAAATCAAGTTTTTTGTTTTTTTTCTCTCCTAAAACTCTAAATTCCTCTTAAACTAAATTACAAAACCAGACAGTCCACCGTTAAAATGAATAATGACCCGAATAATTCAGTGCTCAGCAATGGACGCTCACTCTGACCTTCCTAAGATGGCGGCCCAGTGCGGGCACCACGTCCTAGAGGCAGTGGCTGACGTCAGGGCGGCAGTGACGCTGCCACAGTGCCGGCCGTGTGCAGCGTGGGCTCCCGCAGCCATTGCAGCACAGAGAGGTCCCCGCTCGAGTGTCACGGCGCAGGCTCGCTGCAGCGCAGCCGCTCTGAGGTGAGTGCCCTACCGCGCAATCTCCAGCTATCTCAGCCCTGCTGGCGCAGCCGCAACACGGAGCTCGGGCTCCGGGGCTCAGCCAGCAGCTCCGCCCTGCTCACAGCTCGCTGGGGAGCTCTGCGGGAGACTGGAGCCGCGGACCGGCTGTGGTGGGGGGGAGTCCGGTGATGGCGGGCAGGAGGCAGCAGGCCGCACTAGGCCCCTGTCTAATAGAATTGCCCGGGTTAGGTTGTGTTCCATATTGATTAGGCCGAATGGTAAACATTCCATCTACCGAATACTGCAGTAAATGGCCAGACTGACCGTGTGCGTTATATGTACCAACCTCACCAACTCGATCTATGGCGATATGTGTGTATTACTGTGTGTGAATCCTATTACAGTGCTGCTAGCTGGGTATCACAGGGTGGGTGATGTATTGCTAAGGCGCCATGAGATCACCAAAATAGTCCTGCAAAAAGATAAATAATGGGCATATTTGCCACTTTTTTTTTTTATTTTATTTTTTTTTATATTTATGGTCATTGATCGATGAAAATCATAATCATGCACTCATTGAGTTATGCTGAGTCTCGTATGTAACAATAATGTTCTCAACCATAAGGGAAATGTTAGTCCAAATGTTTTCTCAGTCAGTGTGCATTTGTGCATATTTTATTTATTAAGACCTGTTACTGTCCCCTTTAAAGGTACATTTTTATGCAATCTTGTGGTGCACACCAATACTTTGGGTTACACACTCCATTTGGCATATTTATAATTAAGATTGTTAAAAAAAGGGAATTGCTTTAATTGGGTAGAAAAATATATGGTGCGTGTATCGTGTAATCCTTTTTGGTTCTCTATAGCAGAGTTAAGTAACTTTTCACCCTCCAGACGTTGTGGACTACATCTCTCACAATGTTCTTTCAGCCATATTGATGGCAAAGCATCAGGAGAAGTGTAGTTCACATCTGGAGTGCCAAAGGTTGCCTACCCCTGCTTTAAAGTATGAATATTGGATTTACTGTGGTGATACTATAGTGTTAGGACTGTAGGCAAGGTTGTCTTTTAATCCTTTAAAGTGCCATATGTTGTGAGTCCCTTGTGGGACTGTTAACTCTTATTGCACACTTACAAAGCCCCCCCTCTCTCTCTTCCGCTAACAAAAAATCTGCCTTTCAATCCTTAACAAACTGCTGGCTATTCCAACAAGAGGTAATCTCAGATTTACTATTCTCATCGTTCTCTGAAATAATTGGCTGAGTAAGTTCTCAGTGGAGCTATGCTTTTGTTTTGCTTGTTAGACTGCTTAGGTACCATAACCACTATATTATGATAGGAGTCCACAGTGCCATTTAGTAGTAATTTGTCAAACCATTTACAACCATAGTCCTTTCGATCGCGTAAAGTGTAAGTTTATATATTTGTTATCTTACCTAAGCATACCAGGTTTAGAACCATCAGCTGACACAAACAACCAATAAATACTGAAAAAGGGACACTATGGTGCTGTTTTTGTCAAAATCCTTTGAACAGTTTTGCAAAACACAGGGCTTTCCCGGAAAATAATCCAAGCCCTTCTGCAGGTCAGGTGTTGGGTGCTTCGGGAGCCCCAGTTTTTGAAGGGACTGCACCCCATAATAACTATTAAGCTGTTGTTGCTTTTATTGTGTTTAGTTACCCATAATACATGTGCCTAGTGCTTTGGAAAATCCATTTGAAGGCTCAGATGGTAGGAATCTGAAGAGCTGAACACCTTTGTTGGTAAATCATTCAATGTTAGAATCCTTGTCTACAACATTTAAATACTTGTGTTTTCATTTATTCACATGATTATGCAGTATATTTGATTTTGCATACTGTTTTGCCTTGTCAGGAAAAAATGTTGTGCATACAAAACAATTCTCACTGAAGAGACCGATTGTATATAGTGCTTTAATTCGGGAACTAAACCTGTCTTATTATTAAGATACTTTGATTTACAATTGTTTTTCTAATGTTAGTAGTGAAATGTGACCAGGATAGAAGTAAAGGAAGGTTGCTGATTAGAATGCCTATGAACATTCTGAGTAGCATAGAATGATGTGAAATATATTTTTCAACCCCATCAACTCTTTGATTTTCTGTGACTAATGAATTGTAGCTAATTACCAAGGAAACACTTTCTCAATTGTTCTCTGTTGTATGCAGCAATGAGGGTTGTTTTGAAGAATATGATGAACCAAAAAGCTGCAAGCAAGTTCTTTTGTAAATTAAATGTATACCACATACTGATTCATTGAGTCTTTTCATAACTGCAGTAGAGATGTAGAAATGGGCAAAGTTGGCTAAAAACCAGTATAGGCACTAGTGATAGACCAATTATTGGTTCAGCCAAATTTTTTTTTTTTAGAGCCGATATTTGGCACATTTCTGGTAATTGGTATCAGTCTTGTAATTTACTGATATTACTTATAGCTCTTCCAGTCACTGCAGTCTTTCACATCCATAAACTGAAGCCGCCAGCCAATGAGATGCCACTACGACCTCATGTCACTCTTCCTCCCTGTAAGTCTCCACATACGGAGCTCCACTGAAGTCATGAAGCTAAAATATTGAATAATCGACTGTAGGGCTGGTTTCCTGTGAGTGATAGGAATGTGATTTGCTCTCAGCAATCACACTCCTATCAGTAACAGCACTATGCATGCTTGGATCTTTGATCTCAGCATGTACTGGCTACTTGAGAATGATAGGAGCGTGATTGCGGTCAGCATGTTCAGTTAATGCCAGATTTGTGTAGAAATTGATTCCTTTTATTAAACGGATAATAAAGGAATCAAAACTACTTTTAGCTTAAAGGAACACTGTAAGGTCAGGAACACTAACATGTATTACTGACCCTATAGTAGTAGTATCACCATTTAGGTGGCTTGCTGAATTATTGATGTATGCTAATCCAATGCTTTCACATAGAATCAGTGCATCTTTATGGGTAAAGTTTAGCGCTGAATCTCACATTGTGTAGCACTGCCCCAGAAAGCACCTCCACTGGTCATTGAAGGTTGGCTTTAAAGAAACACTATGGAGTCAGGAACACCATTATGTATGCCTGACCCTATAGTGTTAAAAACACCATCTTGCTCCCCCCTAATCCCCTAAATATATAGCAAAGGAGAAAAGGCAGTGTTTACATTACTGCCTAGGGACACCTCTAGTGGCCACTCAGATGGACACAAGAAGTGCTTCCTGGGTGTGCAGCACTGTCGTTCAGCACCTCCATGCTCTCCATAGAGATGCATTGATTCAATGCATTTCTTTTTGGGAGATTCTAATTGGCGAAGTGGCATTTGGGCCTGTCCTTTGGCTGAGATCCTCAGAAATGACAATCTCAGCCAATCAAATGCTTTTATATGGGGGCAGAGCCTGCTTCAGCAGAGTGGAATAAAGGTAAGATTTTACTAAATTTAGGGGGTACAGGGGAAAGCAATGTAATTTGGTGAGATCATCAATTCTGTTAGCCAAGGAGGTGGCTCGGGAGCAGGGCCAGCTAAGTGTTTTTAAAAAAACCCAAAACATTTAAATAAGGGTTGGAGTAATTGCTTTATCATATTACTGAATTTTTGAGGCCACACTGCAATGTTGCTTGAATTACCATGTTTTGGCCAGGCAGTTGATATATAATCTTTGTGAGATTGCATGTTGTTTCCCAGAGATTTTACCTATACCCTAATTACACACATCCTGTCTGTAGGAGCACAAGGTTCTACAGTTCTCCATATTTGGTTCTTAACTTAGCAAGATGCATTCTGGGTCACTAATTTCATAATCTTTGTAATGTAACCATTGGTCTTGAGGACTCCTAGTACTCCTATCCTAGTGGTGTAGTACTTAATCAAGCTATAACTAAAGGGACACTATAGTCACCAGAACAACCAAAGCTTATTGAATTTGTTCTAGTGAGTAGAATCATTACCATCAGGCTTTTTGCTGTAAACACTGTCTTTTCATAGAAAATGCAGTGTTTACATTACAGCCTAGTGATAACTTCACTGGCCACTCCTCAGATGGCTGTTAGAGATCCTTCCTGGGTCATGGCTGCCTAAAATGCATCCAAACATTCAGTGTCTCCTCCCTCTGCATGCAGACACTGAACTTTCCTCATAGAGATTCATTGATTCAATTCATCTCTATGAGGAGATGCTGATTGGCCAGGGCTGTGTTTGAATCATGCTGCCTCTGCCCCTGATCTGCCTCCTTGTCAGTCTCAGCCAATCCTATGGAGAAACATTGTGATTGGATCAGGCTACCACTTCTGATGATGTCAGCAGACTGCTTGTTTTTTTGAGTCTAAAAGCATGCAGAGTTACAGCTTCAGGCTCGAATACAGTAAGATATTTACTATATTTAGGGAGGTATGAGGGGCCCAAGGGGGGCTAGATGGTGGTTTTAACACTATATGGTCAGGAATACAGGTTTGTGTTCCTGACCCTATAGTGATCCTTTGTTTTTCCTATCCATGCTTTCAGGATTTGAAATATTACCATCTCATAGCAATAACACAAGTTTTTGTTTTAAACTTTCACTATTACTATTAGTACGTTGGTAGGGCAGAACCATGATATTAACCCCACCTATTCTTTATTTCTTTTGGAAAGGGATGATTTAAAAAAATTATAAAAAATATATATATATATATTAGTCAACAAGTGTTGTATGGTAATTCTAGGCAAGATTAAATGATATGATGAGAAACACAAGCAGTTTCTTATACTAAAAGGTGTTCTATAGGTGGTAAGCCTATATTGAAGTGGAGCGCTTAAAGAAAGATAAAACGCTTACCTCTCAATAATACAATACAGCTGGGGGTATATCATCAAACTGAGTACATGAAATGTAGAAGCATAAAAATATAGTGCAGTTGTTATGTTATAGATAGTGATTTTTAACAAGTCACATGGCCTGTAAATAACTGGCTCAGCAGACAACACCTTTATGCTCTTAAGGGCAGCATCACACCCCTCCTGGATTAAGGACATATCTACTCAAGATATATAAGAGGAAAGAGAGAAACATGCAATAGTGTAGATTGTCATTTTTATTGTTTTTTTATTCAACACACACACACACACACACACACACACACTAAGCTCACCTTTGGCAGAGCCTTACATTCCTGGCTCTGAGGTAGGAAGGCTGGGTGTCACTTTATGGGGTGACACATTCCCTTTAGATGTACAGAAGCCACAGAACCAAAACGGGACACAGAGTGAATCCAACAAAAACAATTTATGGTGTATGAACAAAATAAATCATTCAAATATAGAATTATGAGAAATCATAAAGCAATATAAGCAACTGAATTAACAATGTGAAGAAACAATACAATTTGCAGGCAAGCAATGAGAGATATCTCAAGGGTATTAACCGTGGGGTGCCCTGGTGTGTGACACAGCGCTTATTGGCCACTATTCCACGGAAGTCAAGTTTACGAGTCATGTGGGAAACAGTGATTGAGAAAACTTTACTGATAGTAAGTGTCAACACGTATAACATTAACATTACAAGGTATGATCACAAATGGCAAGATTGTGTGGGATCTACTCCACTTGTTAAATAGGTTATCATCTGTGGGTTGATGGTTGAGAATTATAATACTAGAAAAGAATTATTTGACTTTGAAATGCACTCGACATTCGCTCTACGTCAGGATTAGGTACGGGCCTTTGGTACACAGATAAGAAAGATGTGTGCATGTTATCTATAATGAAATGAGAGTACAGTGCCAATGTCTGTCAGAGGAAGAAATGAGCAGCTGGTAAAACAGAAGTGCATTGTAGAGTACATCAAGTATATGGGGAGAGTAGATTTGGCTTATGAATGTATACAGTCTTATTTGGTCAACTGAAAGACTAGGTAATGGTACAAACAAATTGCCATCTACTTAAAGGGGACACTATAGTCACCTGAACAACTTTAGCTTAATGAAGCAGTTTTGGTGTATAGAACATGCCCCTGCAGCCTCACTGCTCAATCCTCTGTCATTTAGGAGTTAAATCCCTTTGTTTATGAACCCTAGTCACACCTCCCTGCATGTGACTTGCACAGCCTTCCATAAACACTTCCTGTAAAGAGATGTTAATAGCTTGTTAGACCCTGCAAGAGCCTCCTGTATGTGATTAAAGTTCAATTTAGAGATTGAGATACAATTATTTAAGGTAAATTATATCTGTTTGAAAGTGAAACCAGTTTTTTTTTTTTTCTTTTCATGCAGGCTCTGTCAATCATAGCCAGGGGAGGTGTGGCTAGGGCTGCATAAACAGAAACAAAGTGATTTAACTCCTAAATGACAGGGAATTGAGCAGTGAAATTGCAGGGGAATGATCTATACACTAAAACTGCTTCATTTAGCTAAAGTAATTTAGGTGGCTATAGTGTTCCTTTAAGCTAAGTTGCAATTTTTAATTCCTATGTATTCCTTTATACAAATGCAGCCAATGGGAAGTCACCCAGAAAAAATATTGTTTCTACAAAAAGGGAGTTTGAAAGGACTCTAGTTATTATAAACCCTTCCTGCCCATCTCTACCTGCTCTCTGCATAACAGACTGTTTAAGAGTGTGAACTATTGAATCACTTTGTTAGATTGATTATTCTGGCTTCCTGACCTCGACTTGTCTTTATTAATTTAACTGTTTATACCGACTTATTGGCTTGTACCAACTACTCTTGACTTCTGGATACCCCTGGCCATTGCCTGTCCCTGTTTACATTCAGCCAAGCCATTATAAAGTGGGTACAACAAACAACTCAAAATACTCAATTTTCTTTCCTGGTCTGCCACGCTGCCTCAAAAGCAACATCTTTGTCCCTGTAACTTCTGAAAAAACTGGAAAGCCAGAACATGGGGGGGGGGAATGGGACTGTTAATGTAATAAAGCCTCAATATTTTACTTAGCATTGTCTCACCAATGCACATCAGAATTATGAAATATCCTGAGAAAATTGAATTCATATGTTTAAAAAAAAAAAAAGTAAAACTTCTAAATGTGACCTGTATTTGAGATAATGTGGCTAGACCAAACAACTAAAAATACACCATTCGGAAAAGTCTGGCTTGCCTACTGTGACGGAGCACCTCCGCCCAGTCTGCTTCCTTGCCGCTAGCAGGGACCCTGGAACACTTCAGACCCCAGTTGCCAAGGCTTGACTGCGGTCCCTCTGGAGCTTTTCCACCCGACTAGGCTGTACGTTGCAGCTTTCCTTTCAGGCACGTATCGTCCCCTCTGCAGCTCGGCTTAAAGTGTTTGCTATTGCCTTTACAAAAGAACTTGCGTCCCTCAGGCTTAGCTCAGGGCTAGAGGGACCCTTCAGCTAGCAAACCGGTCCAAGGACTCTGTCACTGGGATCCCTAAAAATCCACACAGGACACAAGTTCCAAAAGGAATAAACATACACAACTTTTTTACTTGGGACTAGTCCATATATTCTATATAAAGATTACTGTGAATACTCAATAGAAATACAAACCGTCAAATCACATTAGACAACATACAGGAACTTATAATAACATAATGACATATGTATAAATGGGTGGGAAAGACCATAATTAACACAAAACATCTCTCCTGTCTGCAGAAATAGCAATATGCAAATTAACTGAATATGCAAATTTGCAATCCTTGATATTCAGGTAGTACATACAGTAATTGCAGCAATACAGGAGTAACTAGCAGTACATGAGAGCACACTAACAACGCCAGACAGAGTGGCATTGAAGAGGGACTATTGTAAGGGCAATTGCATTATATAGAGGGGGAATCCACATTAGATGTATAAATAGCTAATACAGCTAATAATAATGTTGTGCAGTAAAGATTTATTCTACCCCCTACATTCAGACTAGACTAATATCTGGGGGGAAAGCTATAATCACTGCTGCTGTACAGGAGAGAAGGCATCCAGAGAAGCGCTATAACCACTGTAGCCTTGTCCATGGAACGTGATCCCCTGGTAGCCGTAAATAAGCAAGCCTAACACAGATACTCAGCTGGGGTACAGAAGCTACATTACATTTCAAATATTTGATGAGAAATGAAAGCCCTATTTGTCATGAACGAAATTATATATACGAAGTGTGGCTGCACTAAATATGAAAGCAGTACATTAAATATTGTAAAGCGCTATGAAATCTGTTGGTGCTATATAAATGGCTATAATAATAATTATGGTTGTACAAACATACACTGATCATTTAAAACATTAAACCCACCTGCCTGGTATTGTGTAGGCCCCCTTGTGCCACCAAAACTGCTCTGATGCACTGAGGCATGGATTCCACAAGACCTCTGAATGTGTCCTGTGGTATCTGGCAGAAGATCCTTTAAGTCATGGAAGTTGCCAGATGCTTCCATGGATTTGATGGATCGAATGAGATCTGGAGAATTTGGAGGCCACCCTCAAACCATTCTTGAACAATATTTGCAGTGTGCATTATCGTGCTGAACAAGGCCACTGCCATTAGTGGACACCATTGTCATGGAGAGATGTACGTTGTCTACAACAATCTCTAGGTAGGTGGAACATGTCAAAGTACAATTGAGAAATTGTCACGAGCCAAGGTTTCCCAGCAGAACATTGCCCAGAGTATAACACTACTTTTGCTGACCTGCCTTCTTCCCATAATGCATTCTCCTGTCATCTCTTCTCAAGGTAAATGACACATGCACCCTACCATCCACTTAATCATCCACCTGACCTAAAATAAAAAAGGGAATCCTTCTGCCATTGATTGATGGCCATTCTGTTTGGCTGGTGGCTACTGTGATGCCCTGTGTGACACCTTTCTATCATGGTCAGCATTAAGTTTTTCAGCAATTTGAGCTACATTACCTCTTCTGTGTGATTGACCCATCCAGTTAGCCCTAGCTTCCCATGTGTATCTACTAGCCTTAGGGACCCATAACCTTGACGCTTGCTCACCAGTTGTCCTTTCTTGCACCAGTTTTAGTAGGTATAACCACTGCATACTGGGAACACCCCATACAAGGTGTTTCGGAGATGCTCTCACCCAGTCTAGCCATCACTATTTGTCCCTTGTCAAAGTCACTCAGATCTTTTCGCTTGCCCATTTTTCCAACTCCCAACACATGAAATTAAAGATTGACTGTTCACTTACTGCATAATATCACACACCTTGATAGGTGCCATTGTAATGATATAATCAATGTTAATCACGTCACCTGTCAGTGTTTTTTTTTTTTTCCCCCCAGAACTTGGGCATTTGCCTCCTCTTAAGGGTTTATAGACCCAAGAATTTGTATTTAGATACTGTTTATATAGTCATACTTCTTTCCCTGGAAAAGCACATGGCTTCAAACAAGATATTGACAGGTATACAATCCGCTTTATATAATAGGGATTGAAAAATATTTCTAGCCAGTTTTCGAGCAGAAATGTGTGGCCTAGCAAAGAAATTTTGTTATGTGGTACCATGCAGTATTTTGAATGTCCTTTTTAATTCATGTAGAAGTCAGATTGTTTTAGCATTAGTCTCACTGCTCCATAATTACTCAGCTTTAACTCTAGGAGGTTATAGAGGTTAAATAATGAAGTAAGTGACAAGAATAATCTTCCAGTCACAAAGCTTCTTCTGATTAAAGGGCATGGCATCAGAGCAAGCAGCTTCGAGAAACCACCCTTGTCTTCGCAGCCTAAAGATAGCATTGGATTCCTCCACACACAGCATGGTGCCCTGGAGTGGATTTACGTGCCATTGCACATTTCAAAGTGTGTGGATGGCACTAAAGCCTAAAGTGGGCAAAATTATGTATTGTACCTATTTCTATATTTGCTAACACAAACTACGGATAAATATTGCCAGTTGAAAGGATGGGGATAACTTAAACACTCCATAACAGAGCTTTATTATTGCAGAGCTGTGTGAAACTCACACAGACCACGAATGAATGTGTACTTGCTGCAAAGTCTTGTGCAGCACAGACTCAGTAAGACTCTAGATCTGTGTCCTGCTCGAACACATTGCACATATGTGTTGACTGCAGCAGGTCTGATACCCATATGCACATAGCTGTGAAGATCTGATATCCGCATACTCAGAATTTGTGATTACTGTGGGGGCTGGGAGAGAAAAATGATCCAAAAACATAAGGAAACTAATGGGACACGATAGGAGGTGTGATATTCTTCTCTTCTTTTTATGTAAAATTAATACCTCCGCAGCAAATGAATTTTGCCATTATGAATATAATTGAATGTGTGCTCTTTAACGTCAAACTGCAGAGTCATGTTAATTTTGACAGGAGTATTTAAATACGTATACCGGCAGTACACTGGGGTAACCTCCAAAGCAGATAAGGTTATTAGTCCCCCTCCTTTTTCACCTGGAGCACCTTTACTGAAATCAGGACCCTCAATACTCCTTTTATAGCATTGATGGATACCTTATGATTATGTAATGGATACAAAAGAGACAAAGGTCAAATACCCTGCTGATGGACATTTATAAAGATCTGTGCTTTTGACAATACTGATTCCAAAATTCCAGTTTAATTTATACGTTATGACTTCTAGATATAATGTCCAAAACAGTAAATGTTGAGAGTATTACATCCATGTACCAGGTGTGGAGAAAGCTTAATGTCTTCCACTAAATTCATGTGTTTTAACATGCCACCCTTAATCTTTTTATATCTTTCAGGTCAGCGTGTGTTTAAAAAAATCTGTTAATACCATTATCACATTCAATGACATCATCTTAAACTTCGTGTTAGCTTGTGCTGCACTAAAAACCAAAGCTGTATTCCTAGCACTATAGCTCTCTGCCCACCCCACCTCCTTCGTCAACACTGCAAGGGTTAATAAACTCTAACTGTACTTACCCAAAATCGGCATTGGTTCGGTGCTCCGCCTACTCCAAGGTCACCCGACAGGGAACGCAATAGGCCCTCTCCATAGGAGAGCATTACTACATTGCTTTCCTATGGGGTTTTGCTTGACTCTGCATGCAGAGCGTGAGGACATCTAGCGTCGGGCAACAAAAAGTCGCCTAACTAGAAGGAAGTGCCTCTAGTGCAGGTGTGCCCTAAAGGTAGATTCCCAGATATTTTCAAACTACAACTTCCATGATGCTTTGTCATTCTAAAGGCATGCAAACCATCATGGGTGTTGTAGTTCTACAATATCTTGGGATCTACCTTTAGGGCACACCTGCTGTAGAGGCTGTCTAACAGTCTTACTGCAATACTTACCGTTGAAGGGTTAAGGGGTCAGGGACATTGCACCCCGACCACTTAAATAAGCTGAAGTGGGCTGGGTGCCTATTGTGTCCTATTTAATAACTTCAATTTTAGAAGCAAGCTGGAACATAGTGGAAAGGACTTTAAGTACTTCATCCTTTAAGGTTGTAGATGGTAAAGAAATGCAAACATTACATTACATTACATTGCAGCCTCCACATGTCACATGTGATAAACCCAAAATGCTTTATTTGTGCTCACATGATCTGCAATATGAGATTCCATGCCCACATTATTTAAGTGGATGACCAGCTCACATCCAGGATGGCAGCCACCTTGAGACAGAAGCAAGTTTAAATGTATTATTTAAATGATTGGTTTGCTGGAAACTTAACTGACTTTTTTTTAGCATATATGGTTGAGAGAGCAAAAAATATGTAGAAGCAAAGGTTATTTTTGTAGTACATTTTTCTTAATTATTTTATTTCAAAAGGCATACATGCAGCAGTATGTAAAATACCAGTGCAAGATATATTGGCATAGTATAAGCAACAGTTTCTGTACCCAATTTATTAATATTTGTAGAAATATTAGTGTGGGAACTTGGGCATGATAGTATAGACCTGAAAGTCTACAGTGAACATGTTCATTCAAAAGGCAATCTGTTTCTTCCCCCTGCCTTGAGTATACCCAAAGGTACGAATAAAAATAGTCAATTTACAAATAAAAATAAGTCTGTGACTTCAGTATAAGTTACTTTGACCAACAATTCATCACTGTTGAAGGTGCTTGTTAACCCTATATGTGTAATAGAAATAAAATATCTAAAATATAATAATCAGGGAACCAAATAAAACCACATGGAAAAAGGCTAGAGGTTGTATAAATCTGAATACCTGAAGATTCCAGGTGCGACAGAAGAGGACTAAAGGCTTCAGTAGACTTCAACAGTCCCCTTGATATTGTCGCAGGTTCAGACAGCTTGGAAAAAGGCAGATTTTGCCATGGAGGTTAATTTATAGGCAAACGAGTTGGGTCCAACCTGTATGCTAGTATCCCACAGAATCTTGATTGTCTTCACATGTAGGTGGACATAAAGGAACAAAAGATGGCGTCTCTCAAATAGGAAGGTATTTTATCTCTGATCACCTTCAATACTGTGCCTTCTCACCAAATTTAGTTGATTTTTGGAAGACCATGACTTGCATTGACCTCAAGGTTTTCAATTTGATGATGAAGTAGAATAGTCGCCAGATCAGGGCTGCCACCAGAAATTTTGGGGCCCCTAACTGAGCTCAGGGCCTGGGCCCCTGGGTGCCCGCCTCCAAAACCTCCCACAGAGACCGCCTCCAAATCCCGCAAACAGGAATACACACAGACACAAACACATTCAGTGATACAAAAGGACACAGATACACACACACACACACACACACACTGATACATACTAACAGACACACATACTGATACGCATATAGGCATACATACTGACACACATACTGAGACATACAGACACACTGGCGTACATAGTGACAGACACATACTGATACGCATATAGGCATACATACTGACATACAGACACAGGCATTCATAGTGACGGACACATACTAACATACAGACACTAACATCCATACATACACACATTCATTCATACAGACATACATACATTCATACAGACACTGACATCCATACATGCACACATTCATACAGACACTGACATCCATACATACACACTTTCATAATGACATGCAGACATACATACACTGACATTCATACACACATAATGACATGCATATATACATACATACAGACATACATTCACATACACACACAGCTCATTTTCCAGCCACCCTCCTGTCTCTTACCTTGTCTTTGCAGGAGGGTGGCTGGGGCTGATGGGACTGGGAGTTGGCCCTAAGTGCGTGGGCCACCCGATGGGCCCCATCAGCGTGCGGGCCCCGGTGGAACTGCACCGGCGGCAGTTCTGCCGCTATACGTGGGGCCTGGGTGGCCGGGCCGGTGACCACCGTTATGGTTGTCACCCCCTGATGGCGGCCCTGCGCCAGATTATGAGGGAGATTACCCATCATCAGATGTTTGTACTATGCCTAGTGTCATGATATTTTTTCCATCCAAGACTTTAATTTTGGTCTTCAATATCTGTTGAAAGCAGTGGCGTACATACCAGGGTCGCAGGGGTCGCGGTTGCGACCGGACCCGGCCGCCCCTGCGACCCGGTATGTACCCACAAGGCCAGCCTCTTCCCCTGGGGGGCCCAGTGTTAGAGTGAGTGTTAGAGTGAGTCTTACTGAGTCTGTTTGATGTCTGTTAGTGAGTGTGTGTTTGTCAATGAGAGTGTATGTTTTGTAAGTGAGTGTGTATGTATGTCTGTCGCTGAGTGTGTCTCTGTCAGTAAATGTGTGTCTGTTAGCTAGTGTGTATGCGTCTGTAAGTGAGAGTATGTGTGTCTTCAGCACTTACCTTATCCCTCAGCCTCTCAGCTCCGAATGAGACCGCGCACGCATTCAAACCGCCCATAGGAAAGCATTACTCAATGCTTTCCTATGGACGTTCAGTGTGCTCCTCTAGCGGCTGTCAGTGAGACAGCCACTAGAGGCTGGATTAACCCTCAGTGAAATATAGCAGTTTCTCTGAAACTGCTATGTTTTCAGCTGCAGGGTTAAAACTAGAGGGACCTGACACCCAGACAACTTAATTGAGCTGATATGATCTGGGTGTCTGTAGTGGTCCTTTAAAGGACCACTATAGTGCCAGGAAAACATACTCTTTTTCCTGGCACTATAGTGCCCTGAGGGTGCCCCCACCCTCAGGGACCCCCTCCCGTCCAGCGCTGGGCGGAGAGCTCTCCTCCTCCGATCCTCCTCTTCTCCTCCCCGTCGGCAAGAGCTGCGCGCGCATTCAGCCAGTCACATAGGAAAGCATTCATAATGCTTTCCTATGGACGCTTGCGTGCTCTCACAGTGAGAAGCACGCAAGCGCCTCTAGCGGCTGTCAATGAGACAGTCGCTAGAGGAAATAGGGGAAGGCTTAACCCATTCATAAACTGCTATGTTTATGAAAAAATGGGTTAGCCCTAGCTGGACTTGGCACCCAGACCACTTCATTAAGCTGAAATGGTCTGGGTGCCTAGAGTGGTCCTTTAAGTGTGTGTGCATCTGCATGCACTGGCGTACATACCGCGGTCGCAGCCCTGTAACCCCTGCGACCAGGTGCCCACCGCCATGTGTTGCGGCCCGGCCCGCGGATCAATTTTTGCACCGGGGCCCCATGGGTCATGCGTACGCCACTGGTTGAAAGTTTGTAGCTGTGTCACTTGTTCAGCTGTTCCAATCTGGAGTTGAGTCACTGTGGGATGGAGGGGGTGGCGGCATCTTTCCTTATTTATTTTACTAAAGCGTACATATTTGCTAGCCAAACACCATCTCTTATATGAGGTTGGATACTCTTATGTGGATAATGAGAAATAGGGAAATCTGTATATTTAGACATGAACTTTCAAAGGATCATCATTGCCATGCACAAATGAGTCTAAAATAGGACTCATTCAAGAGGTAGCATTACAGTGATTAGAATAAAGTGTTATACAATCACAGCTTGAAAGAGCTTTCCTTAAAGGAACACTACAGACACAAAGCATTTCAGCTTGCGTAACCACTTAAGGACCAAACTTCTGGAATAAAAGGGAATCCTGACATGTCACACATGTCATGTGTCCTTAAGAGGTTAAGTGCTTTATGTTGCTGGAGGATGTAATGTATTTCATCAGAAACCTGCAACTTCATCAATCAATCAATGCTAAGTGACACCTATGTAGGTTTTCTTCTGCTCCCGGTATCTCTGCAGAAAGAAATTACACGCAGGTATTCTTTGAGGGTATATCTATTTAAGGGTGATATAAAAATTAGATAATGGAAAAATAACAGACTTCTTACATCTACCTCTGTTGAAATGGTTGTAAGAATTTTTGTCAGGTGTAGTGGGACATACATGCAAATTATCGAATGTAGTGCTGGGTCTGTGCTGATGGCTTAGTGGATCTGTGATTATTATTTATATAGCGCCATCAGATTCCGTAACGCTGTACAATTGGTGGACTAACAGACATGTAATTGTAACCAGACAACTGGACGTACAGGAATAGAGAAGTGGAGGGCCCTGCTCAATGAGCTTACATTCTAGAGGGTTGGTGTATATATCATAAAGATTAATCTATTGAGTTGAGCAGTGATCTTGCAGGGGCATAATCTATACAACAAAACTGTCTAAAAGGGACACTCCACTGCCCAAGTACAAATTAAATAAAAATCACTGTTTAGCAGACATGCCCCAATGAAAACATGCATGCCTTTAATTATGCATTTTTTGCATTGGGAGTATATATAAAAACAGCTTGCAAAACCTGAAGTTCTCTGGTCTGAAGCCTTTGCAAGCCCTCCCTAACCCAGCCCAGACTTTCTGTGGCTGTCCAATCACAGACATCCCAATGGAGCTCAATGAGAAGTCTTTGCAAGGCAGGTACTCTGGGTAATTGCTGCCTCTTGAGTTTAGCTTCACTGAGCTAACTAAATCAGCAAGTGACATTACCTGTTGTCTGCTTGAAAGTGAAAGGGGTGTAACCATTTTAACCAATTTATAAAAGTGTAAATTTCTATTGAAATCTGCTCTTTATGCAAAATAGGGGGGGGGGGAAGGGTCTGGAATGTCCCTTTAAGCCACAGTTCTTTTAGTGACTATAGTGTCCATTTAAGAAACTGCATGGGTAATGTATAATCGTGCATGATTAGTTGGTTAAGATCCTGGCTTTCCCACTCCTTTTTGTTAACTTGTACATTAGAGTTACTCCAAACAACAGTATCACTGTAGTGTTTATGATGCCAGGAGTACCTTGGACCAGTTTCCTAGTAAAGGGGCAAACCACTTGGCAATGGTGTGCCCTTTCCTGGTTCCCCAGTGGACTCCAATGCTCCCTAGTGGTCTGGTGACATGATCACTGTTTCTGCAGAGCTGCGGCAGTCGCAGTTCATTGTCTGAAAGTGCCAGCTGACCTTTCTCAGCAAATTAATGCTATTAAAAATTGTGCATAAAAAATTACAATACAAAACAAATGCCATGTTGAGTGCAAAGTGCTAAATGATGAGAAATACTATTGTTTTGCAAGATGATTACTATTTATTTATTTTTCTTTAAATCTCTTTACCCTGACTAGCACCTACTTATTCCCCGCTCCCCGATTTCCCCCCCCCCCGAACTTAAAAAAAAAAATAAAATAAATTTTTTTAAATCACGCAATGTTTGATCTACGTACAAATTTGTTTAAATGTTTTCTTAGCAGTTTTTTTTAGTAAGCAGGCTATTATAGTAGATTGATTGTGCACTGTTTTTCATGCAATAAAGGGTAAAAACAACATTGCTCTGAAACATTTCTCTTTGCCATTCTATGCTGCTTTTATATCTGCAGTGCTCACTGGGACCAATTTTATTGGTAATGTAAAAAACCCCAGGGTACACAAACTGGAAATGCCTCATCTCCATGTGAAATCACTGGCTGACACTGTCTCTGCCCCTCTTCTGTAATTAAAATATTAGTTAAATAAATAAATTACAGTTACAAATAAAATATACTTAGATCATATATATTATATATATGATCTAAGTATGTGTGTGTATATATATATATATATATATATATATATATATATGATATACGATATACAAAAATGAAAACAGGAGCACTCATCTTGATAAAGACTCTGAAGGGTCGAAACGATGTAGAGGTGGTGATTTTTTTGAAATATATTTTGGAAATCCAAGAGAGTGCTCCTGTTTTAATTTTTGTTTATACTATTGCTGGGAAGCACCCGGGTACAAGTTACAGGTGTGTGTGTGTGTGTGTGTGTGTGTGTGTGTATATGTATATTAATATCAAAATACACGTAGAAGAATATTGGTTTTATATATATATATATATATATATATATATATATGTAAATATATATATATATGTAAATACGTTAAAAAAAATTATACAAATAAATAATTAAAATATGTGTGTAATTTCGTTCTAACTGTATTTTGATAATATATATATATATATATAGATATCAAAATACAAACAGAATGAAATTATATATATATGTATATATCACTATATGTATACCTATATATTAATAAAAATAATTAAAAAAATAAATATATATATAATTTTACATATATTTATATAATAATTTAACATAATTAGGTCCTTTAATTATAATTTGCGGGATCTGCCTGACAACCCAGGCCAAAAGTATAGGGAATTTAATTTTCTAGCACTATATATTTTAACCTATAACTTTCCATGACACCATAAAACCTGTACATGGGGGGTACTGTTTTACTCGGGAGACATCGCTGAACACAAATATTTGTGGTTCAAAACCGTAAAATGTATTACAACGATAATATCGTCAGGTTATCATACAGGTTTTATGGTGTTTTCAAAAGTTACAGAGTCAAATATAAGGCTTGCGTTTTAGTTTTTTCACATTAAAATTACCCAGATTAGTTATGTTGCCTTTGAGACCATATGGTAGCCCAGGAATAAGAATTACCCCAATGATGGCATACCATTTGCAAAAGTAGACAACCCCAAGGTATTGCAAGTGGGGTATGTTCAGTCTTTTTTAGTAGCCACTTAGTCACAAACACTGGCCAAAATTGGCGTTCAAATTAGTTTTTTGCATTTTTCACACACAAACAAAATTTTAACGTTAACTTTGACTAGTGTTTGTGACCAAAATGGGGGTAATTCTCATTCCTGGGCTACCATACAGTTTTAAAGGCAACGTAACCAATCTGGCGAATTTCAATGTGAAAAAACTGAAAAGTGTAACATGCTATAGTTGACTCTGTAACTTTCCAAAACACCATAAAACCTGTACATAAGGGGTACTGTTTTACACGTGAGACATCGCTGAATACAAATTAGTTTTTTATTGCAGTATAAGCAAACAGTATTATGACATTCACAGTTAGAATGTCACGTAGAACTAAACATTTTCTAAAAATTCTTATTTTCTCCCATTTAATATTTTATTCATATTAAATTATGTTTTATACCTAAATATTTGATGTTTCCCCTGAATAAAATGATATATAATAAGTGTGGGTGCACATAAAATAAGAGGCGAATCACGCCTGAACAGACTTATAGCGCAAATTCAAGTTTTTGGTTACGTTTTGTTTTGATCACAACATGTACATTTGGCTCAGTCCTTAAGGGGTTAAGATGGCAGTGGAAGCTCAGCCTTTTGTTGAACCTTGCCTTGTGATGTCTTTTTATTGCTTTTTAATATCTGTAAAATTCCAACGAGGTAAAGGTGAACAATTCATTAAAAAAAATGTTTGGCTATTTTGACCTTAAATTTAAAAATCACTTTGATTTAACCTTGGATTTTCACTTTACTGAATAACCCTGTTTATCTTTATGAAAAGCTCAAAAAGTGAGCAGAAGTGCTTTGGGTTTTTGTAAATAGTTTGACAAAGCCCAGAGGGACTCAACATATAGCACAATAACCACTTTTAAGCAACAATGAAGTTAGTGTTTTGCATGTCCCTTTAAGTTGAGGTTATAAAAAGTTAAAATAAAGTATTTCTTATTGCTGATAAGGTATGCAGTGATTTGCATTGCAGTAGTAGGGGATGGTCTCTTTTCATCAATTATAAACCCTAGTACAGGGATAGGCAACCTTCGGCACTCCAGATGTTGTAGACTACATCCCCCGTAATGGTAGCATCATGGGAGGTGTAATCCAAAATCTGGAGTCTCAAAGGTTGCCTATGCCTCAACTAGAGAAATAAAATACCATGTAGAGAAAAGCTGCAGTTATTTATAACCATTCACTAAGCAGAACCTACTCCTAATGGCATGTTTGACCAGTGCTGTTCGGTCGGTATATGTTAATGGCATTGTGGAAAATGTCTGATGTAAGATGATTGCTAATGTTCTGTTTGTCTTGTACTGCCTATTTTTTGCAGTAGAAAACCATGGAGGATCATACGGTAACCCAAACAGATACTTTGACCACAATTGAAGCACATACTGTGGCTCACACTGTAGCACACTCTGTGGCTCAGCAGGTCCAGCAGGTTCATGTTGCAACATACACTGACCACAGCATGCTGAGCGCTGATGAAGATTCTCCATCCTCTCCTGAGGACACATCTTATGATGACTCCGACATCCTAAACTCCACGGCAGCTGATGAGATCACTGCTCATTTGGCAGCTGCAGGTAAGCACACATATGGGTTCACAGCAGAAGGAGTGGCATGGCTCACAATGCATTATCTAGTCTTCTTTTATGTCTGTTCCAGATGTTTCCTTTAAATATATGTTGACTTGAACGTGTCATGCCTTTCTCACACCGCTATACAGCATTCCCACATGTAAACAGAGTTGTAGTAAATTGAGAACTAAATTGCACAACTTAGGCCCACAAATGTGTATTTTGAAAGATCTTCCTAAAAATTCTACTATAGCCATTTTTAATTCACAACTCTTTGATAAACTCAGTGATTTGTGAATAAACATATACGTGCATGAATATGGCTCCATCCACCGTTTTAGTTTAAATTCTCTAATGGTAAGTCTTGTAGTTTTATATAAATAGTATTAAACTTTATGGTTCTCTCAAATAGTGCCTCCCTTTCACAGTAGTTATTTTCATTATCTTAATGTTTCAAATGCTATGTTTCCCATAAACCACTACTACACGGCTCTTCCATTTGAATGAGAAAATACTGTGCAGATGGCTTTGGAAAACCAAAGATGTTTGCTTTTTTCTAGGCCTTGATCTCAAAAGTGGGAGAATAGTAATTGGAGTGTAGGTGTAAGATTTTATTTATTTATTGATTTTCCACATATATGTTGGAATCAATGAAGAATTATGCAAAATATTAGCGCTTTGTGTAAAATATGTAATTGCATCAAGCATATATTAACACACAAAATACCAAGTAAGCTCCTTTGCTTTCTTGTAAATAAATCTAGCTTTATTTAAATTTGTCTTTTCGTGAATTAGATTTGAGGCGAGTTGAGGTAAACCAAAGGTAAAACGGTTGGTGAATCTGACTGTAAGCAAAAGCCTTCTGTATTAACATACCTAAAGGCACATGTTAGACCTTCTGTGTGACTTGAAATTCTTGAAATTACCATTTACTAATTGGGGACTGTAAAGGAACATATTTCTCTTCGGCCCTTCTAAAATGTTATCATTATTTATTTTTTTCTCCCATCACTTTCACTAAAGAGGAGGATTCCTTTCTCTTCTAATGGTCAGTGGTGGGAGTTACCAAATAAATTGAAATGTAATCTGGATTAGACTACAGCTTCCACCACCAGATCTAACCTATCTTTTACTGCCTAACACAAACCTCCACACTCTTAGGGTCTCAGTATGGGTAAAAGCCTATTTCAGACATTAAGGATCAATTATCTATCTATTCCTTAAGGGACAAAAGCCTGCAATTTGTGTAATTACCATGCATGGATTGCTTTAATTAATCATTTCTTTAAAAAAAAAAAAAAAAAAGCTTATGATATTCTCATGTGTCCAGTCTGTTCTGAAAAACTGTATAATCTGTTAACACACCTTGATGATCTTGAAACATGGTCCTACCCAACATCTCACATTCCAATTAATTTAAAGGATCACTATAGTCAACATATAAAAGTAAGAAAGACAGGTCCCCTAGCCTTCTTTCTTGCTTTTATATTAACTTCCCCTTAATAAAAAATATTTTCGAGTCCTAATTATAGATAAAACTTGCCTCCGTTCCAGCGCCAAAATTCTCAGCAGGCCGCGCCCCCCTTTTCACCAAAATGACAAAATAGCAGGGCTCAATCAGACGCTTCTCTTAGAGAAGCGTCATCATGATCTGGTGCGCATGCGTGGCTTCGCGCTGCACCAATCACGTTTTTGATAGAGCGGCATTGAATGCCGCCCTATGGATGAACACTGAGTGCTGTACCGCGCATGTGCGTGGTATGCACGTTCGCGTGCTGAGCTGACTGCCAGCTGAGCTCACTGTCTATGCCCGCCCCCTCCTGCCACAACCCTCCAGCCCAAAGTATACAGTATACAAACACTATATATAGAGGTATCTCTATATATAGTGTTTGTACACAAACGCACACATTGAAAATAAATATTGTTACACATACACACTCTCTTTCTATCTTACTTATTTCTATCTATCCATCTCTATCTATTTCTTTCTATCTCTATCGATTTCTCGCACTCACCCACACACATACTCTCTCACTCACCCGCCTGCATGCTCGCACCCACACGCACTCACTCACCCACACGCACTCACTCACCCACACCCACAAAATAAGTTTACTCACGGTTTGGATCCTCGTGCTCGGTCTCCGGTCTTCTGCCTGTCAGCCAGAGCTGCTGTGTGTGCAGGAGATCCTTATCTCCCACACTGTTGGCTCTGATTGCTGACAGGCTCCAGGATTAACTACAGGCTGCCTCCTGTCTACTGATTCACGTTTGATGTATTCACCCAAGTGTGAAGACGTCAGACGTGATGAATGCGAATTAGGCAGCCCTGAACTCGGAAGTCCCTCTGGTGGCCGTCTGAGTGACTGCCACTGGAAGTGTTCCTAGCTTCCAAGGTAAACACTGTATTTTCTCAGAAAATACAGTGTTTACATAAGAGAGGCTGCTGGAAACTATAGTTCTCACCTGAACAACCTCATTAAGCTGAAGTTGTTCAGGTGACTATAGTGTCCCTTTAAAGGAGAATTCACATTTTATTAATTTTTGTAATGGTGAGTGGATGAACAGTTTGGAAAAATAACAGAAAGCCATGGCTGTGATTATGGTCTAAATGTGGGTGTCATTGATTGGCTGTCGGTGTCTGATGTCATTCTCAGCCTATCAGTGCTCTCCAAGCTTGGGTGAAATAAATAATGCTGGAAGTGCAAGTTCAGCAATAGCAGTACAAACTCAAGGGGTTGTGCCACAGAACATGGGGTATGCTTAGTGTGTGCCAAACCATCGACAGGGATGGCATATGTAGCCTGTTTGCATGTTAACCATTACAACTGGCTGTAGTAGTTATGGTTAGATTTGTCTGATCCTGGGTTTTGGCACCAATTGATATAGATCCAACGTGATTTTTGGCATATTCAAGGGAGCCCAAATTGTTATTTCAAGTGCACTTGGAGGAGCGTGAATTCAGACACCAGACACCTGTTGGTATTCAAAATAAGCCTCTGTCATTTATTTTTTAGTATGTGTTTTTATACATTAAAAAGTAAGTGCTTACATGCAAATACTCATAGGACAGTAGTAAGAAGGGTGAAAGGAGTACAGATAAGACATAGGGATGAACATCTTTTAAATATAACAGATAAGTTCCGAGAAAGAACAGACTGATTTAGGAGAGACAGCTCAGGTGGAGGGTATCTGCTCCTGGAACTGGACATATATGGTCTTGAGTGTTGTTTTTAAGCATTAAGCATTTCCTCAGTCCAAGTTAGCCAATTTTAATATAGGATATCTAATATTACACCTATAAGCTTGAACCCTGGAATCAAAGTAAATTCTTTTACAATTAGTGTCCCTTTAACCATACTGTACATATTGCATCAATCATTAATAGGTGCATGAAATACCCAATGCAAACTAATAACTAATATATCTATATATACTTTTTTTGCAAAGCGTCTATTCTCATAACATAATTTATTTGTAGTCTTAATACAATGTCACCAATATCCAGCAGAGGGCGCAGTAACACTGCACCCAATGTTGGCGTATAGTAAATAATTGATCTATCATATTTTTTCTTTAATCCTTTTTGTTTTTTGTCTTTGTCCTATGTTTTATTGGGAGTTTGTGAAATTAATTTTACTGTTATGGCACACAGTACAGTATAATGAACACATTGTCTGTTTACCTAAACACATTTCCAATATTGAAGTTTGCTTCCAAAAAAATATTAGTTTGGATTTCTAAATTAATGTAATATATATTTTGTGCACTCCTTAATGTTGTTGCCTTTATTTGTTTTTGTTTTATTGTTATATCACGTATATATGGCTTGTAATAAGTCCAGTTTTAATTCTCCAATTTTGAGCCCTGCACCTGTTAATCAGAGTTGTGAAAGATCGTACACGTTAATCTCTAAAACAAACAACTGAGACCCTATAGATGTGTTACTTACCACACAGTGTTCTTTTCTGTTCAGGTCCTGTTGGCATGGCTGCTGCAGCTGCTGTGGCTACCGGGAAGAAACGCAAGAGGCCACATATATTTGAATCAAATCCTTCTATACGCAAACGTCAGCAAACACGCCTACTGAGGTGAGCATTGTCAAACAAGTAAAAAGGGTGTTATAGAACAGGCCATTGTGTCTCCACTGCCCATCTACCATGTACAGCAGTTATGATGTGTGCACAGCACTAAACTGTTATGACCGCAAATCACCTTGTGAAGAGTGAGACTGGGCCATCTATATTGAGATATACATGCGTGTGTCTGTTAGCGAAGCAGTATAAATAAATACATGATCTGGTTAATTTCAGAACCTGAGTCTTTTTCATGCATGTCACATTTTAGCTGTTTGGCACTGGTTGTGTTTTGTTAAATAATGAATTGCTTTATCAGCACAATGTATGCAGGTTATAGATTGCTGAATCTGAAGGAGAGCAGAAGACCTTGTTGATAATTATCCAGTTGTTTGAAACTGGCAATTAGTGGAGATTTTATTTGTGTTCTTGCAACAATGCTGCTTCTTTCAGATAGATGGATAGATATACTTGACACAGGTGCCTCATTCCAGGGCCCTATTTAACCTTTCCCTGCAGAGAGTCCCAGGAGGAAGGATTTCCCAAGTAAGTGGATTAATCTCATAAGAGCAGGCATTAGGTTGCTAGGATAGGACATGCCAAAAATGGGGTACATTAGTGTTGTGGCAGTCTTATACAATGTATGATTATATACCGGAACTAAATCCTGAATATTTTTGCCTAGGTTTTTTTTGTGTGTGTTAAAATTCAACATTTCAGTTCTCTCAGGGACTTTCTTCATGAAAAAATACAATAGACAAAAACAACAAGGTGTGTGTGTGTGTGTGTATATATATATATGTATGTGTGTGTGTATATATATATATATATATATATATATATGTGTGTATATATATATATATATATATAATGTATATGTAGACCAAGTGGTCACCAGCAGCATCTCCCTGATCGTTGCTCTTTCCCCAAAAGTGCCAAATAACACTAAAGTGCCTAGTGATATCTTAGAACCAAATAATTTGGGTAAGTGCTGTGTAAAGTGTGATATGCTGAGGTTACATAGCTGAAAAGAGACTTGCTTCCATCAAGTTTAGCCTTCCTCACTTCCTTTTCTGTTGATCCAAAAGAAGGCAAAAAAACCCAAAAAAAACAGTTTGGAGCACTTGCAACAAACTAGGAAAAAAATTCCTTCTTGACCCCAGAATGGCAGTCAGATTAATCCTTGGATCAAGCAGCTATTACCCTATATTGAAAAATTATATCCTTGAATATTCAGTTTTTGCAAGTATGCATCTAGTTGCTGTTTGAACATCTGTATAAATGATATAAATGTGATAAAACCACTTCTTCAGGCAGTGAATTCCACATCCTTATTGTTCTTACAGTAAAAAAAACTTTTCTTTGCCTTAGATGAAATCTTCTTTCTTCCAGTCTAAGGATGTATGTAATGTATGTGTAAATATGTGTGTGTGTGTGTATACATCTTTTAATAATTGCGGAGACAACCGTTCCTAACTAGTAATCATAATAAAGAGCAGGGCTTACAATTTGCACTCTCCGCTTCTGAGCGAACATTCCGCTTTGGTGAGTACAAATTCACCCTGGATAATGTGCCACGCACTCTCCAGGCTAGCAGTTGCAAGTAACTATTTTTCATATAGCACCAACATACTTTGCAGTGCTGTGCAATAGGTAAAATAGCCAACGATTTACAAAACACATGCCACATGGGAACAGTTCATGAAGAGGGCAAAGCTCAAACAAGCTTCCAATCTAAAGGTCTACCTAGCTAGTAGAATATGGCTTTTTCAGTCTGATACAGTGCTAATTAGACTTTATATTTTATTGTTTGATGTATCATAATTCCTTTAACCCCTTAAGGACCAAACTTCTGGAATAAAAGGGAATCATGACATGTCACATGTCATGTGTCCTTAAGGGGTTAAATAAGAGATTGTCATTATCCATGATTCTGTGATGGAGAAGTTTTTGCTTTGTGGATCACTATTTTCAGCAAACATGTTTGTCTCTGGAGAGACGTAGTTGTATGAAATATTTCTGCATTGTACATATGTGTGGTTTGTGGCATGTTTTTATTGCCAGCTTGTCTTTGACTGAAGTAAATAAATATTGTTTTTTCATTAACAGTGATGTTAATATTTCTTCTAAGATATTTATCTTATTTTCTAAAACGGTCATTGATCGACATGTATCATACAATTATAGGAAAATTATCTTTTTTTTTATATTTTTTTTATTGTTGAAAATTAAAGATTATATATAATTCTTTTTAGTGCCACTCCGGTCTTACTCTTCCGCCGTGTAGGCTGCCATCTTTTGTTGGAAGCAACAAAGTTCAATTTTGTTATGCTGCTGCTTGCGTATCACATCCGGTTTTGTGAACACTTCCTGACTCTTGATTACCTATGTTGTCAGTGTTTGATTATACTGTGCTTCTGACCAAAGCGCTTTTTGAAAAGACTGCACCAATAGAACATGTGTAAGCCAGGAGGTATTTTGAAATGGGATATTTACCTTTTTCAATATAAACTAATACACACACTGTAACATATATAATCTTTTATTTTTTATCTTAAAAAATTAAGAGAGTTTTCCTTTGAGTGTTTCTTTATAAATATTTGTGAAATTACAGCATATAAAGACTCAATAATTTGCAGGTACACACATCCGTTTTTACCAGATGTGATTACATAATAAAGGGAAAGTGTCGATTAAGGGGTTCATTGTGCATAAAGACCCTTCAAGTTCAGGTGTCTGCTTAGGAAGTGCTCAGTGGGGAGAGGAGAAAAGTTTCAACCAATGGCTGATGGGAAGTGGCAACACAGGGAAACAGAAACATCTTGAAGCTTGGTGCTTTAACACATTTTGTAAAAAAACTAAAATGTTGTTCTTTAGGAGTGAATCTAGCAAATTTAAACTACTTTTTTAGCAACACCTATAGCTGTGTGTGTGTATCATAATTGGTTATTTGGTGTGGAAAAAAAATAGATCAGGTAAAGAAATAGATTTTCTCTGTCTCTTTGGATTGCTGATGCAACAACACACTCTTACACACTGTTTCTTACGAGGCATTCATTTACAGGCCCTAAACATTATTTGCATTGTAGCTGCCATTGAAAACTTGTAGAGGTTGGTTAAGTACCAGACTACCTCAATAGTGAAGAGTCTGTCCTTACCTTGTAAAACATACAAAATTTACCTTCAGTATCCATTTCTAATAGAAACAGTCAAATGATATTATATATATTCCTCTGTGCAATATAGCAATGGGAATGCCTATATTAAAGTCCCTTCACGTTTTCCTGCTGCTACATCTTTTCATTCAATGCGTTACATAAGAACACACACATGCAAGTATTAGTCTGCAATATGTCTCTCTCATACCAAACTTATGAATTCCTTAATTCCCAATGAATTTAATGTCTTCTTCTTTTAATATTATATGACTTACTATGGGTCATTGAAACAAACTTTCATATGAAACATTTTTTTATTATGTTACAGGAAACTACGGGCAACACTGGATGAATACACCACTCGAGTGGGGCAACAAGCTATTGTCCTGTGCATCTCTCCATCTAAGCCCAACCCAGTTTTTAAGGTTTTTGGAGCTGCACCACTGGAAAATGTAGTAAGTGGTTAATCGTGGTCTCTTTTGAGAGTGCATTCAGGGTTTGAATGGTTTTTTGTTTTTACTTTCTGTGTGTCTGAATTACATAACTTGCACCATTTATTTTCAAACACTGTTGTTTGAGAGATTTTATTTTAAGAGTTAGGGTTTCATTGATAAAATCTACTCAACTGGTCCTAACTACATTCCTCCAGTTTATTTTTATTGTTCTTTCCAAGACTGGATGATCCAATATTTTCCTTGCAAATGTGAGAAATAATTTAAACGAGCGTAATAATTCTCTAGATTCTGTGACCTAATTAAGAGCCATACATCCTTTAGTATACAAAATGTATTCAGTTCTATTGCCTTTTTTGATACTTAAATATATTTGCGTAGCTTTATCTTAGGTATAATGAATTATGTGAAAGGAAATTTCTGAGGCAGGAAGCACAGCATGAGGGACCATAGGAACCCCCTAACCCTCTCCCCCTTCTTAGCTTTCTGATGGGGGGGTAGTAGTAAATCCACGATCACATCCAGCACACACCATCTCACAGCATCTCTATAGGAGACATTCAGTGTCTCCATGCAGAGAGTGGACTTAGAAAGCACCTCTAGTGGCTGTCCGAGAGACTGCCACTAAAGGTGTTTCTCAACACCAATTTAAACACTGCCTTTTCTCTGAAAAAGCAATGTTTACATTGAAAAGCTTGTAGGGACAGGAAAAGAGCACCAGAACCACTACAATAAGTGGCTTTTGGTGACTATAGTGCCCCTTTAAAACAATGCATGGGGGAGATTTATCAAAGTATTATTAAACCAATCCAGCTGGTGACATTTTTGGCACCAGTTTCAAAGAAGAATACACTCAGTCTCCCTACAAAGTCATACCTCCCTACACTATCAGACTCAGTCTCCTACACTGTCACACTCGCTCACCTTTCCACATTCACCTCCCTGCTTGCCCTGTAACAGTCATTTCTTAAAGACAGTCATCCTCATACACACACAGCACCTCCCACACATGAAACACAGCCTTACCAGGGACCACAAGCATCTCCCCCAAACAAATATGCTCCCAGACTTAAAACATGATCAGAGACAAACATTATTACACATGGATACTCACTTAAGACACACTCTTTGAGGTACACACACATACAAATACTATACATACTCTGTCAGAAATGTATATATTCGTACATCAGTGTATCAGTCTGTCTCCCTGGCTGTAATATGAGGATTATATGGTATAGACAATCCCATGGTAGAGTGTCAATACAGCAAAGGACTGTTTTTGTGAAAAGCCTTTTTTTGGTTGGAGTAACCCTTTAAACGTTTCTTTCCAGTTAATGCATACAATGCCAAATTTAGTTGTGCTCAGAACACTCCCACAGTGACTGTGTGAGCATTCACTTTCAGCACTCAGCAATTAAAGGGTTACTCCAGCCTTCTTGACCATTTTGGCTTTTAGAAGTGGTCATGGAGCAAGTAATCTATATGTGCAGCGTTTCTGCATGAAACACTGCCTATACAGAGATTTCTGCACTTTTTTTGCCAGGCATTTTTTTTATATTCTCTCTCTATTGACCACTCCCACTCTCCCCTCTATATTTGACTATTAATAGTCTCAATTTTTTTTAGACGATCATTGAAACATCCTTAATGCAAGATGCATAAAAAAACTAAGGAAGGGGTACAACAAAGAGGGCCTGTGTCCCAAATGCAGCAGTGTGCACTCAGTGAACTTGGACTAATGGTCTTTCATTGAGAAATCTTTCTGTATAAGTAGTGCAAGTGATATCTGTAAAACTGTGTTGTTTTAACTAGTGTTCCTATTGTCCCTCAGCACTTTAATATTCAATGGTATTACTTAAAGTTTCATCATCATTTCATGCATGTCTATTCAGTAGAGATTTGATAATATTTTTATTTTTAGCTGACAGCTGTAGTGTTTGCCAGCAGAACCAGAGTGCCCCAGGGTAGTCATGTTACTAAGCAGAAGGAGGCTGTAGCGTTCACTTCTCTCTGTTCACTGCTTACTTTCTCCCTCAGGTCCGCAAATACAAGAGCATGATTTTGGAAGATCTGGAAACTGCATTAGCAGAACATGCCCCTGTCCAGCAGGACATCAACTCTGACCTGCCCCCTTTGACTATAGATGGAATTCCAGTATCTGTAGACAAGATGACACAGGTAATAGCAGAATGCACTGCACTGCTTACAGACTGTCTTTGGCATCAGTATACCACCTGTCATTGCTAAATAATAATAATCACAATCCCTGTAAGTATAGCACACACACACGTCTTAAGCCATTCTAAAATAAATTGGTCACTTATAAAGTTGCATTTCTGCCTGGAATCTATTTTTATTTGATAGCAGATGGTGGTTGTGTCATAATTACAAAATCTTTTCACAGACCCTTTTATACATTTCCCCAATATTTCTGTATGAAATGTTGTAATTGTCTGTGGAACTTATAAATTGGGACACTATAGGAACCCAGACCACTTCAGCTCATTGAAGTGGTGTGGGCACAGTGTCCCTATTGCATGTGTTGCTGCAATGTAAAAAACTGCAGTTTTAGAGAAGCTGCAATGTTTATATTGCAGCACTAAAAAAGCCTCTAGTGACTGTCTACCAGGCAGCCACTAGAAGCGTTTCCTGAATGTTACCGGACTTTCGATCCGTTAACGGACACTGGACTTTCTCGCGCTCTGCATAAGGATATCCAGCGTCCGCTGATTCCCAATGGGAGTACATTGATTCAATGCTTTCATATGGGGACGGCCTAATGCGCACATGTGAATTAGTGCTACCTTGTTGAGCGGATTAGGTAAGTAAATAAAGGATGTTTACCCTTTATTTACCGCGGAGGAGGGGGGCAGGGGGAGCTATAGTGCCAGGAATCCAGCTTTGTATTCCTCTTACTAAAGTATCCCTTTAATTGTTCTCTAATTTAAATTTTTTTTTTTTTATTCAGTGTGATATACGTTTTTTTTTTTTTTTTAGAAAGTAACCATGAGAGTAAATAGCATTTTATTAGATGGGATTGAGATTAACCCCTTAAGGACACAACTTCAGAAATAAAAGGGAATCATGACGGAATACTTCCGTTATGTGTCCTTAAGGGGTTAATGGTCTCAGCCAATCTATTGGGAGCATGCGCAGCAAAATACTGTTGCGCCAATCAGATGGTCTCTGAGACCATCAGATTGAAATAGAGTTGCTATTTTTAATCTGATTGAAATAGCAGAGTTTTCAGCTGCAGATTTAAAATGGGGTTGAGTAGGAGTGTTTATGTTCAATAACTTCCTTAAGATGTGTTTTAGGGCAGCGTCCTTATTAAACTGACGAATATATATGTATGTGTATATAAATACTTCTACAGTATTTTTACATAATTCTGTAAACATTACAGCTTATCTAGAATTGCACTTGATAACATTTGGGGCCAGTGGCCATTCCTCTACTGAATTTTTAAACCAGCCTATTTTAACAAGCTTTGGAAATCTAGGGCAGAGTGTGATTTCCTCTGGGAGATTGCTGCACCATTCAACCACCAGTAGCCTTTCATCAGCCTGGTTCATTAAAGGGAACTTGTTGCAAAGAGCACAGGTGTGCAGTTCACTAGAATGGTATGAGATTCAAGTGATAGGTCTTTAATTGCCCTATTCTCCACAGATGTCATGTGGGAGATAAAGGTGTAATTGTGTTAGGTGCTGCACTCCTAATGCTGTGTTTGCAATTTACAATAATACTGTTATTGCAGCAATAATATATATAAAATATACATATATATTGGGTTTCTAATAGTGTTCGATCTGGAAGTGATCCAGGATGTCTGAGAAGATTTCAATAAAATAATCTAATATTGGGCCATTTTTGAGCAAAGTTTTATTCAAAATCTCTTACAAAATAATTTATAGACGTGCACAAATCCATGTCAGGTGTGCTGAATGAATAGCATGCATGCCTGTCATACAATCGATTGATGGACGAATTGATTTGTTAGGCAAATGTTAATGAATCTGTTCATCTGTAGATTGATATGCATTTGGTTTGCTCAACGCACTGAAAAGTTTTGTGCACAAGCCTAATAATTAATGAATAATTAGAAATAAGTTTCCATTTGCTGCAACTGACACTGGAATGCGTTTCTGCCTGGAATCTATTTTTATTTGATCGCAGATGTTGGTTGTGTCATAATTACAAAATCTTTTCACAGACCCTTTTATACATTACCCCAATATTTCTGTATGAAATGTTGTAATTGTCTGTGGAACTAGTTTCTTTTTTACAGTAGTTTTGAGCAAAGTTTTTTTCATGTTTAACATCTGATTGAAAATGAAACCATTTTTTTCATGCAGGCTTTGTGAGTCACAGCCAAGGGAGGTGTGGTCATGGCTGTATAAGCAGAAACAAAAGTGATTTAACTCCTAAATGGCAGAGAATTGACCAGTGAGACTGCAGGGACATAATTTATACACCAAAACTGTTTAATTCAGCTTCACTTGTTTTGGTGACTATAGTTTGCCTTTAATCTAAAGTTACTTTGGTGGCTATAGAACTGTTCTTTTAATGACTTTATTTTCATGTTTTGAAGGATAGGAAGCAAGTGGTAAGGACCTGTTTGTTACATAGTAATCCTGTGGAACAATACTTCACATCAGGGTGTATTTGCTTTTTGACAAACCCGACCATAGGCAGCTATCTGTTCAATTACCTGTTCTTAGGAATCTCAATAGGCCCATTTAGGTTTGTGTGAGTGGAACCTAATAAAACATTTTTTGAAGGCAAACTTGATCCCGTAGGGATTAAGTGGCACACTGTCTTCCTCTGCAAGTAAGGTTAAATAAATAAGTTTGCTGCCAACATTAAAGCCTTAAAGGAACACTGTAGGGTCAAGAACACAAACATGTATTCCTGACCCTACAGTGCAAAACCCACCATTAATCCATGGAGAAAGCATTGGATTGGCTAAAATCAGCGGGGGGGAGGGCAAACACCATTTTGGCCAATCCGTACCTCCTCATAGAAATGCATTGAGTCAATGCATCTCTGTGAGGAAAATTCAGCGTCCCCATGCAAAGCGTGGAGACGCTGAATGGCAGGGCTGCTTACTGTGCAGCACTGAGCCAGAAAGCACCTCCAGTGGCCATCTGAGGAGTGGCCACTTGTAGGTGTCCCCAGGGGCAATGTAAACAATGCCTTTTCTCTGAAAAGACAGTGTTTGCATGAAACTGCCTGAAGGGAGCTATTATACTCACCAGAACAATTACATTAAGCTGTAGTTGTTCTGGTGACTATAGTGTCCCTTTAAAATAAACCATGAAAATAAGTGCCCATATGAAGGGCTGAGCACAGGTCGGGTATCCGGTATTCAGATTTCTAGATTTTTGTCCTGCAGCTAATTAGGAAGATTCTTACAGTTGAACAGGTTTCATTGTCACTGCTTCAGCTTCTGATTGCATCTCTGGAGAATAAATGTTAACAGGGGGTTTGAGCATGTGAGTTCCAGTAATTATTTCCATTCTTGAAACCGGTAGCACACAGAGAAGAAATTTAACCAATTGATAGCCCAAAAAATATATTCCTTTCACATTTAGTCTCTCAGCTGCTCTAGATGGTGGTTTGTGGTGCAGAGAGAACTCTCCGCTGTAAAAGTGACTTATAACTGTAGAGATGTGTAGAAATCACAACACCTATGAGAAAGCTGTCAAACAAGGAGCTAAAATATGTAGGGATCGACCGATATTGATTTTTTAGAGCCGATACCGATATTCTGTGAACTTTCAGGCCGATAGCCGATATAATTTGCCGATATTCTGTACATTTACCATTTTGGAAAACAAAAACTATTTCTAAAGGTAAATGCACAAAATATACATGCCACGTGTAGTGGATGCAGTGTGACAGGGGAGCTGTGTGTGTTTGTGCAGTGGATGCAGTGTGTGTTTGTGTAGTGTGCGTGTTGTGGATGCAGTGTGTGTTTGTGTAGTGTGTGTAGAGGATGCAATGTGTGTATTTGTCTGTGTGTAGTGGATGCAGTGTGTATTAGTGTAGTGTGTATATAATGAAAGCAGAGTGTTTGTGCAGTGTGTGGGTAGTGTGCGTAAAGTGAATGCTGTATATACTAAATGCAAAGTGTGTGTATATAATGAATGCAGAGTGTGTGTGTGTATTTGTGTAGTGTGTGTATAGTTAATGTAGTGTGTTTATATAATGCAGAGTGTGTGTGTTTGTATAGTGTGTGTATATAAAGCAGTGTGTTTGTGTAGTGTGCATTATATACACACACTACACACACACTGCATTATATAAACACACTACACAAACACACACTGAATTATATAAACACACTACACAAACACACTGCATTATATACACAGTGTGTTTGTATAGTGTGTGTGTATATAATGCAGTGTATTTGTGTGCATTGTATACACACACTATACAAACACACACTGCATTATATACACAGTGTGTTTGTATAGTGTGTGTATATAATGCAGTGTATTTGTGTGCATTGTATACACACACACTATACAAACACACACTGCATTATATACACTGTGTTTGTATAGTGTGTGTATATAATGCAGTGTATTTGTGTGCATTGTATACACACACACACTATACAAACACACACTGCATTATATACACTGTGTTTGTATAGTGTGTGTATATAATGCAGTGTATTTGTGTGCATTGTATACACACACACACTATACAAACACACACTGCATTATATACACAGTGTGTTTGTGCAGTGTATGTGTATATAATGGAGTGTGTGTGAGGGGGCATTTTTTATTAAATTATTATTATATTAGTTTTGTTGTCCCCCCTCCCTGCTTGTTGCCTGGCCAGGGAGGGGGGATATAGCAGTCCCTGGTGGTCCAGTGGTATTGGCTGAGCTTTGGGGGGGCGGAGAGCAAGCGCTTACTCACCTCCCAGCAGCTCCTCCAGCTCCCCAGTGCAACTCTCGCGGCCAGCGTGTCCATGGCAACGCCCTGACGGCCGCGGGTCTCGCGAGAGTTACACTGGGGAGCTGGAGGAGCTGCTGGGAGGTGAGTAAGCGCTTGCTGCCCGTCCCCCCAGGACCGCCGGGCTTGTAATGAGCCCGGCGGTCCTAGGAGGTATTATCGGCAATATCGGTATCTGAATTGGCCGATACCGATATTGCCGAAAATACCGAATATCGGCCGATTATATCGGTAAAACCGATAATCGGTCGATCCCTAAAAATATGTTCTGGGGTGCCTGTAGCAAATTTCATCCAATTTATGCATGTACTGTATTTGCACTTACAAAGCAGTAGTCCCCACCCTGTGTGAAAAGTGGGACTGTGGCTGGGGGAACTTGTTACTTATCCCATAAAGACAAAGCAAAAGAACAGATAGGGACTAATGTCAAATGGATGATATATTATAGAATAATACAATAATATAGAAAAAGGGACACAGTCCGAAATATACATATCCTTTTTGCCAGTAGGTCTTGCTTCTTAAAAAAAAAAAAACAAAAAAAAAAACTTGTGTCCGTGGGTACATGTAAAAGATAGAAAGGGAAACCAAAAGTGCAATATTTCTCAATATGTGGAGAACACACAACATAGAAATGTGTGAATTCACACTTCTATGTAATAGAGCTTTAAACCAGCTTTAGTATATAATAGCGTGCAGTGTTATGATCCCCACTTATTGATACGTGTATTTCATTTGTAACTTCAGGTGAGACTCGGTGATAAACAAATATAAAAAAACAAAATACAATAGTGTTTACAATACTAATACCTTAACTTATAGGTGTGTGACATAGTTGGCAAGAGCTTACATCTCCGCTAACTATTTCAAGCTTAGGGCGGTACAATCTCCAACTTAAGCAGACCGATTCAACTCTCTCTTCGACATCACGATTGTGAACATGTATAGTAGCTAATCTTGCATATACAGAGTTAAAACGAATGTGTACTCACATAAATAATATCAAATAAAGGGCAGCTTTGAGGTTAGTAAATTAAAGGGATACTATAAGTGCCAGGAATACAAAGCTGTATTCCTGGCAATATAGCTCTCTCTGCCTCCTCACCCACCCACTCAGTGAATAAAATATAAAAAAAAACTTTGGTTACTTACCTTAACTCCGCGCCAATGTCCCTGGCGCTGGTTCGTGGCTCCGGCGTCTCGCGATGATCGGGTGCTAATGCACCTATGCAGCAAATGCCTCACGCATTAGACGTCCCCATTGAATCAATGCTTTCCTATGGGGAAAAAATCTGAGGCTGGATGTCCTATGCAGAGAGTGAGGGCGCCCAGTGTCCGTTACTGGACCAATGGTCCCGTTAGGATCAAAGGAAGTGCCTCCAGTGGCCTTCTTGGAGACAGCCACTGGAGACAAACTTAATGCTGCAATGTAAACAGAACCTGCAATGTTCAACATTGCAGCACTAAGTGCAATAGGGACACTACCCAGACCACTTCAATAAGCTGAAGCATGAATAAAAATAAAAAAAAACAGCCATTGTAGGACAAATGGGCTAGTGGCTGGTGAGAGGGCCCCAATGAAGACAGAGAAAAGCCTCTGATTACGAGGTAGGGTGTAGAGTACATCTCGGTGGAAAAAAGCCAAAATCGCGGGTCACAGACATCTTAGAACAGGACAAGTAAGGGAAAAAAACAGGACTTGAAGCTAATCTGATGCTCTAAAATCGACATCTAAAGTGAAAGAATAAAAATAACTTGCGTATCAATGTTACAAATATGGGAAACTCAAAAAGGCATCTTAATGTAAAAAGGAGATAAATGTATAGGGAAATTACTAAAACATACATTAAAATAAATAAGATGGTTGAAAAATAATTTTAAAAAGATATATATATTTTAAATGTAAGGCAGCTAAAAGTACCCCAAAAAAATCATGGAGTATAAAATATAAAAGTATACAATTCCAAAAAAAGATGCCTTGCACTCCAACCTCAAAGCAAATATACAATTGTATCAATCAATATCGGCGGTCTGAGTTTCTAATCCAAAAAAACAATTCTTTTAATCCATAAACAAATAGGTTGGCATTTCAATTCACCACAGGAACTTTCATCGGAACAATAAAAAGTTAGTACATATAATTGTAGCTATATTGACCCATGCATGCACGCGCATAGTAAGATAATGCGCTCAGTACAACACTTGGAGAGAGGAAGCTTCTCTAATTTTTAGGCAACCGGTGTTGCCAGTCACATGATCACACGTAATGTGGAGGAGTTTGGAATCGTGCATGCATACACGGTGTAAGAGGATGCACTCTGCACAGCACTTGGGAGGATAAATCAATTACTTTGTCTATAAATATCTATAATTTGATGTATTAACTTTCTGTTGTCCTGATGAAAGTTTCTGTGGTGAACTGAAGCGGCCTCCATGTAGGATGTAATGGGAAATAAAGTCCAAAACAATAAAGAGAAGGGCCTTGGACCATGTGGGCCATTATAGAGAAGGGCATATTGAGGGATGACTTGTCACAAAAATAGTGTGATACTTAAAGCAAAAAAAAAAAAAAGGCATCTGAAAGAGAAAGAAGTTAAAAATATTACATTTTTTTTTCCTTTTTCACCCGCTTTTTTAGGATTAAAAAGGGTCAAATTGTTATTGAGGCCTTGTGGCTCTAAGGATTTTAGGTTAAAAACCCAATTAATCTCACTTCTGCCTAATATCTTTTTAATGTCTCCACCGCTCCAAGGTTTGTTAAATTTCTGGAAACCAGTAACTAAAAATTTTGGGTCATTATGGTGCACTCTAAAATGTTTGGATAGAGAGTGATTTTAAAAAGCCATAGTTACAGCAGTGTTCTGATATGAGGTTTTTAGACTTCTTGATGTTATAGATAGATATGTATGTGTGTGTGTGTGAAAACACAGTGACCATCAGGGTAAGATGAAGGGTGTATTCTTGAGTAATAGTTGGGAGTAGCAGATAATTATTGTAATCCAGCTGTGATAAATCAAAGCTCTCATGACCTGGTAACAGGTCTAATTTATTTTTGACTGCAGGAGGATCAAAGAAAATGTAACCATAAATAAAATAACACGTTAGCCATGTAATGGGATCTTTTCATTGTTCTTGAGATCAAAATATTGCTATCTCTGATCTATTTAGTTCTTATTTTTTTTTTTTAATATACTTAAATGCAGAAAATGTTAAGGTCAGTTTAAATTATACAAACCCAGTCTCATATTTAGTTAAAGCGGCACTGTCATGCCGAATCCTTTTTTTTTTAACCCCCCTCCCGCCTCCACTATCTCTAATTGACCCCCTAGTCACTCCCAAATGCCCCAGAGCCCCCCACATTACCTATTTTTTATCTTTATTTTCTGCCCCGATCTTTATTCAGGGCGCCGCCATCTTTGTGTGGGTAGATGAAGTCCCTGTGGGACACGTCATCTGCCCAGACTGTGAGATTCCCCGCACATGTCTAGTGAAACACCTGGACATGCGAACGGGAATTTCATCTATTCATTCATCAGACAGACGAATGAATGAATAGCATTGTCAGACGAACAAACGAACACTGTGTATCAGTGTTCGTTTGTTCGTTCAGTTTATTACAAGGAGGGAGCTACCGGCACGCAGCTCCCTCCTTGTAATATGTAACTATAGAAGCGGTAGGGAGCAGTGCTCCCCGCCACTTCATAATTCCCCCAGGTCCCCCCTCACTCTATAGGGGTCAATATGACCCCCATAATAGCATAAGGGAGATTAAAATCTCCCCAATGCCCCTAATCGCTATACCGTGAGTAGGGACATGTCTACTAAACCGTGAGCAGCCTGTGGCTGCTCACTGTAAAAAAACAAAACAAAAAAAACTATTGGCCCCCACCCCTGGGCGGCGGGTGGGGGCCCGAAGTCAAATTCACTCCCTCCCCCTCCCCCCCATCAAAGGTGGCTAGGGGTCCCCAAGCCCCTAGTAACCCACCCCCCCACCCAAATAAAAAGTCCCCTACCTAAAAAATAGTGAGGGGGGAATAAAATAACTAACCTGTAAAGTAAAATTAAACTTACCATTCGACGTCTTCTTTTTTCTAAAATCTTCATTTTTCAGCCCCACAAAAGGCCAAATAAAAAAACCATCATAACCGTCGAATTTAAAATAAAATAAAAATCCAGAGCACAAAAAAACCCAGACGAAAAATAAAAAACCAGAGCGCAAAAAAAAAAAATCCATCTTCACCCATGGAGGGCTCCGTGCAGACTGAGCTCCGCAGGGCGGGGAAGGCTTATAAAGCCTTGCCCCGCCCTGCAATTAGGCTAAGAACACTCTGGTGGGTTTAAGCCCCCTCATTATCATTATGGCCCCCACCCGCCGCCCAGGGGTGGGGGAGGACAGTAGTTTCCTCCACCCTCATTATCATTATGGCCCCCGCCGTCCCCCCTCCCCCCCTATCATTATCATTTTGGCCCCCACCCACCGAATGAAATTCCATTACGAACAAAATGCCGAATTGAGTTCTAAAAGAAAAGAACATATTGTTCTCATTCAGTTAGAACGCAATTCGGCAGTTTCGTGTAAAATGACAGGAAGCATCGCGTGAACACTGAGGAAAGGTAAGAATTATGGGAAAATTGCTCTGACCAGCGGAAATGAAGCACACTTTGCTCCTCCGCTGGTCAGAGCTGGTCAAGCGGAGGAATCCTCCATAAGGCAAAGAGTCCCTACTTTGTCTTATGATTTTAAAGAAAACTAAAGAAGACAGGAAGAAAAGAAGAACAGATCCTGAGAGAGGGGGAGAAGGGGAAGAGATTGAGGAAAGGTCAGTTCGGCATGACAGTGCCGCTTTAAATGATTAGTACATTGACATGACTTGGATAAACTGAAAAGTTTCTGAAGTACTAAAAATGTCAACTTCCATGAGTGTAAGGCACTCCTTGTAATAATCTGTAATAGGCAGCATGGATACAGATCTGGAGGGGGGAAGAAAGGGTGTGCATTCAAAGCACTAAAATGATGCGTTATATCTTTTTTGTTGCTGTAACTGTTTTTTCTCTTAAACGGTTTTAAGAGCCCTTGTAGCCTCTGTAAAATCTCTGTAATGGCCAGACAGTACTGAAGTCAATCTTCATATTATTAAAGCTGCTGAAGAGTGCTGGGATTTGGGAACATAGGAGAGCCCTATTTTTTGTCAAACTGCTCCAGTATGGTTTGATTAAAAAAACAAAAAAAATATGTGTGTGTGTATAATATCTTTATTAAAATTGTCCTTTGTAATGGTGTATCTGATGTTTTTCTTATTTTGAGGCATAAAAGTATTGAGCTTGCATTATTTCACATACTAGCTAACCTCTTTGCACAACTTACTTTGACTAAAACAAGTCTGATTATACAGATGCCGGATACCATCTCATGTGCACATGTATCCCTATAGACCAGTAAGGTTTCTTTGGAGCTTTCGGCTGTGAAATATTTCCATAGGATTGCATATGTGTGTTATAATTACCCTGGAGAGTATGGTTACAGCTGCCAGAAACGGTGTGCTTTGTCCATGGCATTGTTTTGTAATGCCACATCTGGGGTACATTATTACTAGTGTAGAAATTAATAAACAAACGAGTTTGGTATGCTGGTGCTTTTGGCAGCAACATGCAAAATAGTAAAGAATCAACAGGCTAAGTTAAGTATCCCAAATTATGTAGGGAAATACTGTGTTATAGCCCCTCCATTCATAAAACATGAAACTGCTAACAGTGTTCTTAAACCAAACCTAAAATGCTCACTTTTGTCTTAGCCCCATAGTGCCCTTGCCTCGTGGTTATGTGTAACGTTTGATATTTATACATTTGCTTAGATCTCTGAAATGAAGTAGAAGAGAACCAATGTCTACTTTCCAAATTGACTCTTTTTGTGTTTGCCTCTGTGCAAGGAGATTTGAATAATTCTTACAGGCACTCAAGCTTTTCATATAAAATGCATCCTTTCTAATTTTTATTTAGGCTCAGTTGCGGGCATTCATTCCCGAAATGCTAAAATACTCCACCGGACGAGGCAAACCAGGCTGGGGTAAGGAGAGTTGCAAACCCATTTGGTGGCCTAATGACATACCATGGGCTAATGTCCGCAGTGACGTACGCACAGAAGAGCAGAAACAAAGGGTAAGATAGGACTGTGATTCAAGAAATATTTTAAATTGCAAAGTTATGTTTTCTTGTCACAGTTGTTTGATTACTTTCGGCTACTGTTCTCTGTAGGTTCAGTCTGGGTCTTTTCTCATAGCCATAAAACCTACTGCTTATAGTATAGATACCAGATAAGCTGATACCTAAAATAATAGAGTAGTCAGAGTGATTGGTAATATACGAGTGCAGGGGTAGGCAACCTATGGCACGTGTGCAAGGCACTCGATGTGTCTTTGCACGGCACTCAAGGCTGCTGGAGCCAGACAGACTCTGGCCTATCAGGAGTCCCAGTGAAACTTGAGATATTTGAAAATGTGGTGAAGGACAATCCTCAATTTATTAATTTCAGCACTTGTGAATGGGAATCCACACTGGAGTAGAGCAGCCTGCAGCTGCTGTTGCAGCTCCTGTCCTTGACCTGACCTGGCCAGCCTTGTCCCCACTAAAACCCAGTGAAGCCACCCACTTCTAGATATACACAGAAATGCAGAATAACCCTCCCCTCATACAAATAATAAAAATAGCCCACACACACACACAAACATACACACAATCTGCACAAATGCAACACCACTAACAATCCATATACATGCAGCCTCTCACATGCAATATCCCAAACAGCCCGTCACATACACACACTACCAAACACACAATGTGGCCTATCCTGGATCCGACCACACACAATTCCACAAGCAGTCCCCATACACAGCCCACATTCATAGGTATCATACATGATACCACAAACTACTCTTGAACATATTCAAATTTAATAACTCATATATGCACAACTACAATGATACAAAGCAACTGCAGTATAAATAACACAAGCAGAACACAGCAACATACACGTCTATTTAAAAAAAAATAAAAAAAAATTAAAATAGGGCTGACATGCTACGGGACATCCCAATCTTATTTTGGCACAGTGCTGCTAAAATGTTTCCTACCCCTATACTAGTGCATGAATAGACCAGGTTTTTACATGTTAATAACAGTCTGGTATCAGAATAATATTTTTTATCAATCTTGGTAGAAAGTCCAGAACAGGCCATGTCAGCAATGGGTAAATGAGAAGCATACAGTAACAAAACTTAGCAGTAAAGCTTCTGGACAACAAACACCCGTGTAGCCAGGTAGCTAAGGCACCATCCCTAGGCTAGTTCTTTGTTATTTAAAAACCTGGAGTCCTGTACCTCTCTTCAATGCTTGGTGGGTTACTTCACCAGAGTAGAGCTATAGCTCTTTCCACACTGCTTCCAACTTCTGAGGACCGAGGCAGAGGCTGGGACTAGAGCAAACTACAAGCGTTTGGTAGGCTAGATATATATGCTGGGCATATGACAGTCCGTAACATAATTGCCAGACAAGAGCAGCTTTACTCTTTTCCTCGCATATAAAGAGGACAGCAGTGCTTCATGCTTTACTGGCGGGAGACACATAAAATGTGTGTGTACTTTTGTTGCATTAAAATGAATATTATCTTAATCAAAGGGGCACCTTCTTTAGTGAGCTGGTCGTGCCATATTTAACTTGTTCCATTTTCCATAACTGTAAAACAGAAAATAAGACAAAGAAACTAATTTTATTCATATGATATGATTTTATACTGCTGAGTGTTCTGTGCATTTAAAGATGAGGTGTGTAAAGCTGTTTATTATTGATATAGCTTAACAAAGCTGCTGCTAACAAGTGCTGTGGTATGTCTAATTTGTGGCAATGCAGGTTTCCTGGACTCAAGCATTGCGGACGATAGTTAAGAACTGTTACAAACAGCACGGTAGGGAAGACCTCTTATATGCATTTGAAGATCAGCAGACGACACAGGTGACAACAACGCATGGTATTGCTCATCTTGTTCCTTCGCAGACCGTGGTACAAACAATTAGCAACCCAGATGGCACAGTGTCCCTCATTCAGGTATGTTTTAATCCTTCACAAATAACCTACCAGCAGGTGTGATTCCTTGTCACAGAAATTGAATCACAGTAATCTGAATTGAAATTCCTATCATGCTGCAAGAGAGCATACTTATAAAGCATGAAAAAAAGTAACGTGTTGAGTCTAAGTCAGTGTGCACAAGCATTTATAGACATTCCCTTTTACTGAAAGTAAGATAAACTTATTAAAAATATTCTAGTGGCTAGTTTGTCAAAATACAAGTTTTTAGAAATAACCTTAGATTAGAGAGGTTCTGTCATTAGCACATGTCGCTCTGCAACTTGGCACAAAGTCCAGTCTAACTCGTATATATGCGACTTTTCACATCAGCCTACTAGCTTGCAGGGGGGCCCAAAAGGTAGATCCCCAGGTGCAGAATTATAACTCCCATGCTTACATGCTTTTAGAATGACAAAGCATCATGGTAGCTGTTTTTAAAACATCTGGGATTTCACTTTTTGGTACGTCTGATTTAACACTTTTAAAACAATGACCATTTAAACCCTTGCAATCTAACTAAAAGTAAAATGTTCTTTATCTATGGTGTGATTAACATAATGTTGTTCTTTACCTCTACATTATTATATTACAGAGATAAAAATAAAAATGATTGCTTAGGATGTCTTCAGCTGATTTGCTGGTTTGTTTCATGTACAACAATCTGTTAGCCCTGTATGCAAAGAATATAAGGCTAATACAATAATTGTGCCCAGTTAGAAAAAAATTGTGCCAACATTATTTGGGTTAAAATGTGTCACGGAGCTCTCTGTACCCCTGGCTGGGTACCTCCGCCAAGGACCGCTTCCTAGCTGGAACAGGGACCCCAGTCAAGCCGTGGCTTGACTGTGGTCCTGGAACCGCTCTCTTTTGGAGCCGAATGGGGAACTCGCTCTAGCCACCCCCAGGCAATGGACGACACACAGTCCTGGGAGCTCTAGTCCTCTAGACTTTCCCCGTTGAATCCTTCACACTGAAACAGTGATAAGTGATTAGCCCTTTCCCGTCTCAGTAGCCAGACAACAGGCGACTGGGAGTACAAGCTGGAATGAATTTAATCTGGCCAGATGGCCTGCTTTTATGCAATTCTGAACACAGTTAAACATTCCCACACAAACAAGCTAAACCCTTATCGTGGACCTGAGAGGGGACTAGTGACCAGTCCCAAACTCCTCCCCTGTGCCTGAGAGATAATTGAGTCAGGAACTGAACTAACCCAATTATCTCCAGACACAAAAAAAAAAACCACAATTCACAAATATCCCCAAAATACCTTAAAATACATAAAAATCCCACAAAAGTTACTTCCCCTGATAGCCCTGATCTGGGTGACCAACATATCCAAAAATCACCTAGATCAGTTCAGGGGTTCAGGAATTTCCTGGAAGTCCTAAGTGACCAACTGCACACGAGGCTCCTGCCCAAAACGGTTCCATATGATCAGAGCTAGCGGTCGGTCTAGTTCGGTAGTTTAAAACCGAACAAACTACCGAACATAGTCAATATTCTTACCCTGGAGCTTGTTTCCCTTGTTTGTGGGAACGTTTCCACCGAGCAGTGTCTTCCTAAGTGTTGTAGAAACAAATGCAGGTGATGCTGGAAGTCCAGCGGTGTTTGGGAGAATCTGTGTCCGTTTTCAGTTCCATGAACTCGACGACAATACACCGCTGCCTGCGTTCGTGAGAACAAGATGGCCGCCACCTCGTGGTCGTCCATAGGAAATGTGGCCACCCAGACGAACACGTAGAACACTGCGGTCAAAATTGCTACAAAGTAGTAATTAGGCTTAACAAGCTACCCGGTGGTCTCCGGTTCGTGCGTCTGTTTGGTTCCCGAACCATATAGTCCAAATACACGAGAGACGGAGACTTTTACAGGGCATAGTACAGGGCCCATAGTCTGTGGGCAGGCTCTTTCAGGAGCTTGTGGGAAGGGGAGTTTGTCACACTATGTATGTGATATTTTGCATAAACTGTTTTATACAAATCCAACTCCATTTTGAGCAGTGATTTGTTATGATTTTAAAGATATGGTTGATGTATTCAGAGCATATTGAAAGTGTGGACAAAAACAAGGCGAATATATTTAGCATTTTGTGCTTTTAATCACCTGAAACACGCAATCCAAAGTCGGCACTAATAACTTTGTCAAGGCAGTCGGATGGTTTATATAAATTCTAGAAGTTTAAAGTGTTTGACCTGATGTTGTACCAAAAACTCAATAAAGAAATTTTGTGCAATAATATATTGAGTGAAGTGTATGATTAAAGTATAAACAATGTAATGAAACACAAGTTAAAAAAATGAACAGATTGTTTTAACAACCATAATAACGTAAGCAATGGTCTCTGTTTTCCAGCCAATATGTCCAACAATACTACCTTAATTTTATTTACATAGTTTTTGTATAAATCCACATTACATTACAGTACTGTTGCTATAATTGAGGGTAGTTAACTATGCCGGGGCAGGATCTCAGGGCTAACCACTTTCTCACTTGTTTTATATCTCATAGGTTGGCACAGGAGCTACTGTTGCCACTCTTGCTGATGCATCAGAACTACCAACGACAGTGACTGTTGCTCAAGTAAATTACTCTACAGTGAGCGATGGAGAGGTACAGTTTGAGTTTATAGAAGTCGCCAGTTAATTTCCTTTTTACTGCAGAAACGCTGCAAAGACTTTGACATCTTTCCATGAACCAGAATAATGATTGCCATGAGTAATATTCTATTATGGTATAAATATTGTAAAATTAAGGTAGCTTTATAATATTGCTACTGCTTAAATGGCAAAACATTGCATTTTATATATTCCTTTTTTTTTTTTTCTTTTTTTTTTTAATATTGCTATTAAAGAAAATAAATCATGAAAAACCTATTTTGCGTTTTTATATTTTTTTATTTTAATGTGACATTTAAGGAATATATTTTCTCGCTTGAAGAGATCTTCTTGATTAGAAATTTGAAATTCTAGAACCTGAACTGTTTAAGAGCACATTAAAATACATTAAAACAGCTTACCTCACCAGTGTACATATAAGGTTTTGCAGGTAAAACATCCAATCTCAGCTTCCATTTCCAGAAGCCTTTGCAAGTGCTTGTGGCACCACCTAGCTCAAAAAATTTCTGTACAATATTTGCGTTATCACAGTTATTGTGGGTATAGTGCTACACCTGTAGCTTTTATTTTTTTTTATCTCAAAATGGCCTTGAAGCTCTCAAGTTAGCAGCAGCCAGAGTGCAAACTTTGAAAGCTAGTATATATTTCAGTTTCGTTTTTATCTATTTTATTTTAAATCCCCTTTTTGTATTTTAATGAATTATTTAATAAAACTTATGAAGTTGGGGTCAACTCCAGCCTGCAGTGAACCTTGAAGAGATTAACCTCTTAACGGAACACTTTAATGTCAGGAATACAAACACTGAATCAGTGCATCTCCATTGGCAAAGTTCAGAGTCTCCATGCAGATTGTGGAGGCATTGAACACCAGTACTGCACACTGTGCAGCACCAACCCATAAAGCACCTAGAGTGTGTCTGACTGCCACTAGAGGTGTTACTAGACAGCAATGTAAACAGAGCCTTTTTTTTTTTTTTTTTTTTTAAAGGCAGCATTTACAGTGCTCAGCCTGCGTGGACAGGCTATTCACACGGGACTATAGTGTCTCTTTAAGTTCCCTAGTACATTCAGTGCTATCCCCCTCATATATATTTTATTTATCTGTTTTGGATTTGGTGACCACAATTAAACATTCAGTCCCTGCATATAAGTTGTTTTTTACGTTTTCTAATTTTGTATATTTTAATCCTGTTGAATGATTAGTTGTGTATTGGATATGGCTTAAAGAGGACATGTCACTTCCCAAGGCTTTTTAATAGTAATTTTTGTATATTTGCATATTGTTTATTAAATATGTATTGAGATGCATGCAACATAAATTTGTGTAGAAATCTACAGCTATTTGACCTGGACTCCTCCTCCTAATTGGACTCCTCCATCCTTGCCAGTCGTCGTTTCAATCTCTGTCCTTTGCACCTGGCTGTCAGCATAGAGAGAAGATGAGAAATGAATTGTAATCTTCTCTGACTGTGCCTAGATAAATTTGAATTACGGCGTTGTTTGCTAACTTTCTTATATAATTTTACAAGGAAAAGGAGCATCACAATATAAAGGTTAACAAAAGTTATAGATGACTTTTAAATATTTATTCAATCGTGTTCTTTCCAAACTAGTGATGATTCCACTTTAATATATTGCACATTAATGAACTGAAACATTATACAACTAGAGAGATTGCAGCCAACCATGTGTCAGGGCATCATTTATAGTTAACAAATGATCAGAGAAGGCTAACAAAAAACAAAAAATACACAAAGCGAAAGACCTAATGTATATTAGTACTTTGCCAGTTCAGCATTATCTGCAAGTCCACACACTACATTCTAGTGGCAGAAGTGGCTCAGGCTAAATAAAAATGTTTCTAAAATATTCCCATAAAGTGTGAATGATTCTGTAGGTGAGCTGTTCCAACAAAGAGCTGTGTGTGAAGATAAATGCCTATTACATTTTTATCTGGAGCGGGTTTTCTAAAAGCAAGTGAGAAAATATTCATCAGCCGCATGCTTTTTGAATGAAGAACTTCCAGAACAATGAGCCTGTCTGGGCCACAAGCCGATTGGACTGACCGGAGATTGCACTTTTCAGCTTTTGCCCTACAGAGAAACAACACTCATTAGACTTAAGCTTTAAATCAGAATGTAGTAGCCTTTAAAATTAACCTTATTAAGCAATTTTTTGTGTACTACTAAAGTGTTTTTGTGAAAATTATGTATTGAAACGAGAAGTACCTTTTAGCTGCAAGCAAAGCATCTTAAACTATGATGGACTTTTTACAGCATTGCACTGGAGAATATGCTTACAGATAGGTGTTTTGAAGGCATTTGCAAGCATGGTTACTGTCAGTATGCAAAAAAATTAAACATTGGTTGTGATGTAAAAATATACTTTCATCGTTTACTGTACAGAAGTGTGTGGGTCATTTTGATAGTTTATTCAACAGTAATCTGTTTGTATAAAGATGAAATGTCTGTTTTAGAGAGAGTATTGCATACATCCTTGGTTCTGCATAATCACAGTGCAAGCATTCTTACTCTAGAAGGTTATCCGTAATTTTGTTTGTTCCCACAGTAGTATACAGCTAAAATACAGATCTTAAAGGGGCAATCCAAGCACCATATTTCCTATAGTTTACTGTAGGAAAACTGAGATTTTCTCAGAATGATATTGCAAAGGGAAGGGCTCAAGATGTCAGGAAATTCTCCAGTTTTCTGTCAAACCACTTGAAAATGGTTTTGGGGGAAAAAACTGTGACTGAGTACCTTGCACCATAACCACTACAATAAGCTTTAGGTGTTCTGGTGTTTGGAGCATCCCTTTAAGAATAAAGAAAAAGAATCACGTAGGGGCATTTGGGAACCTGCATGATTATGGTATGACACGGTTATAATGTAACACTTCTATGTTTATACTTTTTATGCAGCAATATAAACACCTCAAGACTTTGTTGCTTTCCTACATGTTTGTTTTTGTTTCGGTTTTTTGGCTTCTTTATTTCATCATGTTAACAGAAATAGACGATTGTTTTATTTTTTTATTTATTATCACTAATAATTCTGATTGATGTGTTCTTTTATATGTTGATTATGTGTTGGTTTGGTGTATTGGTTTGTTTATTTTTATATAAAAAAAATAATAATTTTTCTCCCAGTAACTTGCTTCTCTGCTTTAGTTGAAATCCTCCTCCTTCTTTAAGGGAACTAAAAACCCAGTCTTAATATACAAATCCTCCAACTAACCTCTGGAATGGCTCTCTTTTTTTATGCCATTTAGGTAGAACAGAATTGGGCTACACTTCAGGGGGGTGAAATGACCATCCAAACGACGCAGGCATCTGAAGCCACTCAGGCTGTGGCATCCCTGGCAGAAGCAGCAGTGGCAGCGTCACATGATATGGCACAAGGAGCTACAGTTACCATGGCTCTTAACAGGTAGTTAAGTGTTAAAGATAGCATGTTCATGATATCTAAAGATAGTTTATTCTTTGACACTTCCACACCATGAACACCTGGTATCTCACCTTAAAGGGACACTGTAGTCACCAGAACAACTTCATTATTCTGTTTGTTCTGTTGAGTAGAATTATTACCTTCAGGCTTATTGCAGTAAACACGGTCTTTTCAGAGAAAATGCAGTGTTTACATTACAGCCTAGGGAAACCACCACAGGCCACTTCTCTGATGGCTACTAGAGGTACTTCCTGGAGCAGTACTGCATAGTAAGCAGCACTGTGATTTAGTGTCTCCACACTCTGCATGGAGACACTGAAATTTCCTCATAGAGATGCATTGATTCAATATATCTCTTTGAGGAGATGCTGACTGGCCATGGCTAATTTGACTTGTGCTGGCTCTGCCCCCTCATCTCAGCCAATCCTATGGGAAGCATTATGATTGGCTTTGATCAAGACTTCTGAAGATGTCAGCCAAGCAGGCAGATCGGGGTCAGAGCCAGCAACAGCAGACTGGAATAAAAGTAAAATGTTGCTATATTAAGGGGGGGCTAGATGGTGTTTTTAACACTATAGGGTCAGGAATACATGTTTGTGTTCCTGGCCCTACAGTGTTTCTTTAAATACATTTAGCACATTGTTTTATAAGTGTATCTTCTGTGTGTAATGAGGCAAAAACCTCTAGTCTCCTCTAAGCCCCCTAGTAGTTTAGCTCACTTTACTGTAAGATAGTCTGTCTTCTGGTTGTCTTTGAGAACTGCTATGAGACTTTTAAGTCCAATCTAGACTGCATTATGATGCAAGATGAGAGTGATTGCCAGACTTACTAAATTGTGATGTTGATTCCCTAAGATCTTAGTTTTTATTCAACAGCTTAAAGTTTGATACTCTATACTTTTCATACGTGCAAAATTTGTTACTGTGGTATAAAGCCATTTTAAATGTAATCTGTTTTTTTACTTTAATATAATAGTGGAAGTCTTAAAACTTTTTGACTGTTATTTACATACAGTATGTTGAAGTGCTAGTCACATTTTAAGATATTCATCGTTCACATACAGGTTTATTCACTAAAGTGAGAATTCAAAATGAATTTCAAGTTTAAAGGCAAAGTAGCCCAAGTGGAAGCACTTAGAAAATTTTCACAGTTTGTTCATTTTGGGCTTAAATTTTATTTATTTTAAATGTCTGAAAATTCACTCTTAAGTAAATAACACATTTAAAAATAAATATGCACCACTACCATAGTGTGCCTCTCTCTGACCATCTGAAATGTATGCAGCTCATATAATGAATTCCACAGCACAAACTATCTGCCTCTGTCATTTGTATTCTTAAGATTATGTACGCTTAGGAATGTTTTGTTTTGAGAAACCACCTGCTTGTGCCACAGTTGTCTTTGAAACGAGTATTCTGGATATTGTGGCCCTTTTTGCAATTAATGCAGTTATGTAAAGTGTATTTCCTGTGGACTTTTAAAATAATGTGTGCTCTTAATGCAGGTGAATGTTTTAGCCCTGGATGGCTTTGCCTACTTGTGTAATCTTGCCTGTACTGAATACACATCTAGACTAAACTATTCAATCTCCGTAGCAAGTGCATTTATTATTTTTTAATCATTTTCAACCATCCGCTTAAAGGAAACCTATTGTCTCAAAATATTTTTTATATATAATAATAATTTCATCAAGTTTTGAAAGGAAATGGATTTATTTATTTTAAAGTGACATATATGTAAGTAAAGAAGAAATCTCATCCCTACCATTAGTATATGACCGGATCCTTCATCCATATACATACACCTTGGGTCATAGAGTGTTTGTATTCCGACAGTTAGTCTCTAAGATATTCTCAGATTCTGTTCAGGGAGTAAAGCCGGAAGACCACAGAGATGGTCTGTGCCTGATCCTCATTTCTATCACAAGAGGGCACTGCTACTGAATTTGTTTTGCTTTTTTTATGACGCAGTGACTGCATTTTAACAGAAAAAATGTAGTGCTAAAATAAAATATCCAGTTTTCCCAAATCAATTTAGTGCTTGGCTGCCACGCACAAAATATTCAGCCATCACAAACACAAATAATAAATATACATATAATACATTAAACAATGTATAACAATGGTGTAAATAGTTCTCTAGCTGTAATAGCACTCAAAGTCCATTGATGCTCTGCAGCCATCCTAATAGAAAATTAGTCTGTCTAAAGCTGGAGAAGTAATCCCAGACTTGTACTAAAAGTGCATCTCTATTTAGTATAGAAAATATATAAACATTCTAAATGATCTTGGAACAATTATTGATACTTTAATGTTTTTTGGTTTTTTTTGTTTGTTTTTTTACCTTTTACATTTGATAAATTTATTGATTATTAAATCGATCCCTAATCTAAATCTTGAAACCTGCTAAGCTTAACCCCTTAAGGACCAAACTTCTGGAATAAAAGTGAATCATGACATGTCACACATGTCATGTGTCCTTAAGGGGTTAAAGGAATCCTTTGGCATCAAAGCAATGTAAGGTTAGCTTCATGAAGCGGTTTTAGTGTGTAGATCATGCCCAGCAGTTTTACTGCTCAATTCTCTGCCATTTAGGCGCTTTCTGTCCATGCAGCTCTAGCCACATGTCCACTGGCTGTGAGTGACACATCCTGCATGGAAAAATGGTTTCTGTCAGATGTTAACTTGGTTTAGAAATTTTTACCTCCTGCTCTGTAAAGTTAACTTAACTCACATGCAAGCGTCTCCTGGAGGGTCTAGCAGGCTAGTAATAGAGCAGGAGATAAGAAATTCTAAATTAAATAAAAAATGCAATAAAGGAAGTTTAAACATTAGATTTTTCTTTCCAGGAAGTGTTTAGGAAGGCTGTTTAGGTCTCATGCAGGGAGACGAGATTAGGACTCTATAAACAAAAAATAAACCGACTAAGCTGAAACCGAAGTGTAGCAAATGTGGCAGTGATCTGTGTAATTAACCTATTTCAGCTGGAACAATGTTCCACAAGTGAACAGATTGTCATTGGACAACCAGCAGATCCCTGTTTAGACTCCATCAAGCTTTTAACCAATACTAGTTCTATGGACAAAATAAAGCAGAATATGTTCTGGAGGAACATTTTAAAGCATGCAAACCTGCAAATGGACATGTTAAAGCTTTTTGAATTATGAATCGTAGTGTTTTGTGTGCTGTACATTCATCCCCCTACAGATACATAACATTTGCAGATGGCTACTACACATTCACATTATTCTCAATGTTGTTATTAGAACTTTAGAACTGTTGTTTATGATCAAAAAAAATTATAAATGCTTGGAATGTTTATCATTTTAAAGTTGGCAACCTGAAACCATTATTCAAATCTTTTAAATTATCAATATTTTATTGGTGTTCAGTCTTAAAAATACAATTTTATTTTTATATATATGTATATATTTGTATTGTATTATTTTAAAATGTGTGTGTGTGTGTGTGTGTGTGTGTGTGTGTGTGTATATTTATTTATTTTTACAGATAAATGTATTTTTGAGCATTGAATGTAGTGTTATGGTCTCCAACCTTAGAATAAAATCCTTTTAATATATAAAGTACCTTTGCATAATTCGCACTGTATTCCATTGACACTCTAATTTAGTTTCCTTGTGCCATTGCTGATTTCTACAAATATTTTACTTTTGTAACCATCAATGCTTTTGGATGTTTGAAGGGCTAATATTACTGTTATTGTGGAGTTTACTATTGTTTGGAGTCACTTTGCAGCTTTTTTATGTTTCAAATCTGCTTTTTTCCCATGTTGTTGTTTGTCTAACTATAGTGAAGCCGCTGCTCATGCTGTAGCCACTCTGGCAGAAGCTACCTTGCAGGGAGGAGGACAAATTGTATTGTCAGGTGAAACTGCAGCAGCTGTGGGAGCACTGACTGGAGTGCCGGATGCCAATGGTAGGAAAACACAATTTTTATTAGGATCCTCTTTGTAGAAGGATTTTTTTTTTTAATATATATTTCTTTTACCATATAAGTTAGTATTCTCAAATGCATGGAATCGGTATGTTCCTCTTTCCATGATTGGCTTAGCAGATTACAAAGAAGTATTGACCAATGGGATATTTAGGAAATGCTTGAGTACACTGCGTTTAAAGATGTGCTTAGCATACTCTGATGTGTGTTTGTGGCTCTTCTTGATGCCCATTTCTTTATTGTTTTAGCACTATTTGGTCATCACTTAGCTTTAACTCACAGCATTTATAATTTGATACCAAAAAAATACCATATTCAGGAAAATTGAGTTCATGTTGAAAGAAATTAACAGTTGCAAAGATGTAAAGGGCAGCTATGGGATTAAGATAATCCTAACAGTTGAATAATTACTCCTCTTTACATTCATAATATTTATAAAGGTATGTTCATGTAGACAACACAGGACTGACTGATGTTGGTGTCCAAAGAAAACATTATTTTAAACTCTGAAAACATGAAATTTCAATAACATTTTATTTCATATCGCTTTCTGTCTTGACCAAGGAAAACCTGCATTACGGCAAGATATTTTTTGACTACTTACACTCAGCCTGTCTTCGTGTTAATACAAAGCAAGCCAGGATGTTCAGAGAAGTGATGCAATTCAACACTGAAAATACAGTTTTATTATTGCACTTGGTGACCATGCATCCTCTCTAATGCATTTATACACTTTATAAACGGACCACGCAAGTCACCCAGAACATTTCATGTAAATGAAGTGGTCTGGGTACAGTTGTCCTGTATGTTTAACACTTTAAGAAGGGGACAATGTTTACCTTGAAAGGTTAAACACTCCACTAGTGGCGCTTCCGTTGCAAGTACCAAGTAAGACTGGGTCACTTGATGTTGCAGCTCTTAGGAAAGCATTGGATTCAATGCTTAACTGTAAGAAGCCCTGCACGCATGCACAGTGCTCGCTCCTCCTCTCTAAGGAGCGCATGATTGGACCAGCGATGGAGCAGTCGCCTTATCCTTGATGACTTTGCGTGAAGCGGAGACGTCACCAGGAAAAAGGCAAGTGAAAACCTTTTTTTTTGTTTAAAGTGACACAATAACGATTTAACCTAAATTAATTTATCATTATTCCTAGAATCCCCTTGCACTGTCCATCTATTCAGTGTTAAACAGTTACGAGCAGTTTAACACTGAATGAGGATTCCTGGCTTCCCATAGGCCCACTGCCACTGTGTGTCCCTTTAATATTATTATGGCAGACAGATGGGGAACATGAATGTAGCAAGGAACAGGGGTACTATAGTGTTGATAATACAGGTTTTCATTCATAACACTATACAGTGTTTCTTTAAAGTAACTCAGAAAATGCTCTTTAGACCATTCTTTGATTGGTCTCTGCAGTTTTACAAATCACTATTTAATAAACAATTAGCTGTGGGGAGATATATATATATATGTGTGCCTTGGAGAAATGTAGTACAGAATTAGGTAAAAGCTTAGAGAGAAGTAATCTCACAAATATTTCCATGTTGATAGGTTTGCTTTTTAGGGCATTGCATAACATCTATGTCTTACTATGGTTCCTGCAATAGATATATACGCATTGTGAATACAGTAACACGATGTAAACTGTCCTTTTGCCAAGTGGTTGCAAATATGTTTGAAATTACAGAAAGGAGTTTGTTTAAATTTAGACACTTGTATGTAACAAATACAACCTGGAGCGGATTACTATGTAATGGGTTCAGATTAATTAATGCTGAAAGCAGCAATGCATTACTGCTGTTTGACGCAAGCAGGATGGGATTACTGTGCACTTTTCAATATACAGGGAGTAGAAATCGGAGTGTATTGTTTATCTGAGAGATTGAGACACAAAATATCCCTCCTCATGTTCTTCTGGCATAGTTCTGTCATTTTGCTTTGCATTGTGGAATTAAGCGAGCTGGACTTTGCTTCCTTATTAATAGAAAAGTATGCATATCCCCTTTATAACATGAGTAGTATAGATTTACAGAGCAAACTGTAGCTATTTTATTATAATTACTTTAAAATAAACTAAAAGGATTGGGAAAATAACCACTACAGGTACACATTGAAGGGACATTGTAGGCACCCAGACCACTTCATCTCTTGTGGAAGTGGTCTGAATGCACTGTCCCTGTCCCCCTTTGCCCTTTGCACTTTTAGAGAAACAGTAATGTTAATTTTGCAGGTTTAAGCCTTCCTCTAGTAGCTGTCTATCAGATGGCCACTAGAGGCGCTTTCTCTAGTTTCACAGAGTTTGACACTGTGAAACAACGTTGGATGTCCTCACAATTGGCACGGGGATGTCCAGCGTCTTCTAAATTCCCATGGAAAGCATTGAGTCACGCCTTAGATTACTACCACCGGCTGACGTTGGCAGAGGAGAAGCCTGACCCAGTAACGAGTGACATTGCTGCTGGAATTGGGTAAGTGTTAAAGGGTTTTGTATTTTAAGCCTTTCATAGATGGGGGGGGGCGGGGGGGGAGGGGGAGAGGGACACTAGTGTATGGAATACATCTTTGTATTCCTAACACTAAAGTGTTCCTTTAATTGGAATCAACAAAAATTACTTGACATAGTTTTGATCTAATTGTGAGCATTGTCTTTATAACGGATCCATTTAAACTGTTGACTTGCCAATAAAAAGTCACACATTTTCCTGTTTTCTTTCGGCCCTGGGAAAAAGATGTCAAAGTTTTAGTTTCTGGCTTTTTCATGGCATTGAATTGTTTTTTTGTTTTGTTTTATTTTTTTTCTAATTGTAATAAATGACAAAGATGTTTGTTGGAAGTCTGTTGCGACTGCTGAGTATTCATAAAGTGCACCCAGGAGATGTTACTTTGCTGGGGCATTGGCTCCACATTGCATACTATAAATTCTAAATTAACTGGAAGCTCTCTGCTATAGCACACTGCAGCAGTACAAATCCCACCAGATTCTTATGAAGTTCTGGAGCACCCCTGTTGATGATTAGTCCTGATCTGCCCATCTTCCTAAACTAAATATAGTCCACAAAGCAGATCAAGACTGATCACTGTCTCCTTTGTGTGTGTGTGTGTGATGCCATGGGTAAATCAGATATAACCAGTTTTATGCCCATTTTGGTCTCAAATTAAAATAAAAGATGAGGACAGCAAGCAGTTGCTGATATCACATTCGTTAAATGTATTATACCTCCCTTCCTCAAGACATAGACATTATTTTTTGGCACATTGCTGTTGGTTTCGAAAACTATTTTGTTCAATCTCTGTGAGCTCCAGGAAAAAAAGTAATTAAATATAATTATTTTAGAAGGCGGTTACCTAGTAGAACCTAAAATATCTACTCACAACCTAAATGACTTTATAGGAAGAAGCAGCTGAGAGTAGTATAGACTGTTGACAGAGCTGTAGTAAGACACCCTCCTCACTTTAAATTCACGTTAATTTCACTCCTCTTAGTAGCATCCACTCAAGGACCATCAAACATGCTTTATATTATACGGGAAAAGGGCAAAGGACCATCAAACGTGCTTTTTATTATACGGGAAAAGGGCAAAGGACCATCAAACATGCTTTGTTATACAGGAAAAGGGCTAAGGACCATCAAACATGCTTTATATTTTACAAGGAAAAGGGGGGCTATCATTGCACTTTAAAAACCGCATAAACGGTAGTTTATACATATGAAGAATATATGCAGTTTATACTTTGCCTTATTGTAGAATAGAGTATATGCTCCTTCCTAAAATAAATCTTAGTTTGGCATGGAATTAATTGAGGACCTCTGCTGACTCCACCTAAAGACATGTATGTACAGTGATAGTAATAACTGTGACAAAATCCTCTGACAATTGGCCTAAATTAAGCTCGCATTGAAAAAAGCTTGCATAGCAATACATGAAAAAAGAAACGAACGGAATAACTGTCTAAAATGTCATGCTGTGCAAGAGCGAGAAATTATTTGATTATTAAATGCTAATGGATTTAGTAAAAGGAATATAGATTGCCATTAAAAAAGTGATTTGTAAGACTGTTATTCCAAGTATAAATGCAAAGTTAATTTCGGCAAATACCAAAATATATTACTGTTATCCTTTGCGTATGTATAATTACTCGCAACTGCCATTTTGTCTGTTTTTTTGATAATTCATATGAGTAGAAGTAGACAAAAAAGAGCATCCTTTTATTAAACCAAGGATGTAAAAAATATGATAAAAATAATTTCAGGAGTTTAAAAATATCAGGAAGTATTACTTTACTGAGAGGGTAGTGGATGCATGGAATAGCCTTCCAGCCGAAGGTTAACACAGTTAAGGAGTTTAAGCATGTGTGGGATATGCATAAGGCTATCCTAACTATAAAATAAGGCCAGGGACTAATGAAAGTATTTAGGGCAGACTAGATGGGCCGAATGGTTCTTATCTGCCGTCACATTCTATGTTTCTACGTGTCTCCGTTAACCACACCTTAGAACAGGGTCTCTCACCCACTTGAATGTACTGATACTATATTCCCTAGCAGAATAAATAAGGAACGTATAAAATTGTAATGATCAATACATAGTCCATAATGTGTTTAGAACTAAATAACTTGTAGGTAATTGCTACTGAAGATCATAATAGACTATAATTTTTATAAAGGTCGTGTGGAACTTTAATGACGTTATTGAAGTTTTTCTTTCACGTGATTTATGGTAATTCAGTTTAACCCCTTAAGGACACATGACAGGTGTGACATGTCATGATTCCCTTTTATTCCAGAAGTTTGGTCCTTAAGGTGTTTAAAAAAAAAAAAAAAAAAATGTTTCTGAACAGTTAACTGATCTTCCAGTTTACAGTTAGTAAATAATAATATAAAGGTCCTAAAATAGCAGTTTACTTTTAATAGGTATAATTTAAGTTGTTTGTATAAAATAGGATGGGTGGATTTGTTCTTGCCAAGAAGTTAATGTTTGACAAGATAGCAGAGGGTAACAGTTTTCACTATTTCGTGGCCGTGTTATTTTAAATTTTTTCTCTCTGTAGTACTAGGTAGCTATTAGGTCAGACTTGTTGTGATCCACTTATTGTCCTTGAAACAACAACTGGAGCCATTTAAACACACAAGAGCTTAATATCTTGAATCTTAGAACTGTGGAGATGCTTTTTCACCTGTTCACTGATGAATGTGTGTTTACACAGCCCTGCATATAGTGTTTGTCTAATTTATAAAAGCATGGGTTATCGTGTGTGTGTGTGTATATATATTATTTATATGATTATTATTATTATTATTTATATGGCGCCATCACATTCCGTAGCGCTGTACATTGGATATATATATATATATATTTATTTATTTATTTATTTTACTTTTGGGGGTCGCTTTGTTTTCTTCCATTAAAATATCGGAATAGGAGGTTGGATGTATTGATTATGTATTATACAAACTGAGCATGACCCAATAAAGTAAATTATGGTGATTTTTTTTTTTAATATTATTATTCTTCCTCTAATAGTCCACATGTCACAGACCCCTTGCTCTTTTCCCATCATCTCTCGTGAAATCTATGTTTGCCTGATAATGCGACTTCCAGAACATGATTGAGATTTCCTCAAGTAATTTTGGGAATCATTTATAAGGAATACCCATAACCATAGAGATAATCTCACACCTTACCTGGGGAAGCCAGAGATATTAAGTCCTTGGTCATAAAGCCCCCCTGTTGCTACTGTTACTGTTTTACTTAAAAATGTGAGCAGGGTTCTTTCCATATCTCAAAAATGTAGTGATGAATAATAAGGGAAGCTAAGTACATCACTTTTTATGGTGTTAGCAGATTTGATTTTGATCACGCTTCTTTTTAGCCAAACGCTATACTTAATCTCGGAATGAATACATGTCATTCTGCATTTTTGATATTTGTTTTCCATGTATAGATAACCTATAGTTTCCCACAGACAGCTGTCATAGGAAAGTAGTAACATGATCTGAAAGATGCTGTTGGCCTTATTCCCAGAAGGCGACTATAATTGCATACACCATCTTGTGTAGTAAAGTGGTTCATGACACTCAGATAAAATTAAGAAAAGAAAATATGTTCTCACTGGAGGCAATCTGCACAGTATTCCTGTAGCAAACATCTAAACAAACTGTAAAAACACAGACTAAAGGCCTCTAATCATTAGGAGATACCTAGATAAAAATATAATTCCAGCAAAACACCAGTGTTGGCCACAGAATACAAAAGGTACTTATATGCATTAATGGGCAGTGTCAGGTTTTTAAAAATAAACTTGTCGAAAATAAAACCCTTCCAAACATAATACAAGCAGCAGCTTTTAAAAGATCTGGTGCACAGGAGTTGACAGAGATGAACAAAAAGTTCACAGACTAAAACACTTGTAATTTATTTTTTTAATACTCAAACCAAATTATATTCCCTGGGCAATGTTGATAAGAAGAGACTACTAGATTGTGATCCAGTCTTACTAAATTAAAGGACAACTATAGGCACCCAGACCACTTCAGCTTAATGAAGTGGTCTGGGTGCCTGGTCCAGCTAGGGTTAACCCCCCCCCCCTTTTTTTTTTTAATAAACATAGCAGTTTCAGAGAATGCGCGTTCACCCGAAGAGGAGGAGGAGAGCTCCCCACCCGGCGCTGGAGAAAGAGGTAAGTTTAACCCCTTCCTCTCCATCCAGCCCGGCGGGAGGGGGACCCTGAGAGTGGGGGCACCCTCAGGGCACTATAGTGCCAGGAAAACGAGTATGTTTTCATGGAACTATAGTGGTCCTTTAATGTTCTTCTCCTCTATATATTATTTTCTACAAAATACTCCCCTTGTTTTCATAAATGTATGAAAAGCAGATAACTCAGGGAGATTTTGAGAATATAATATCAATCTGTTTAGTTCAGTGCCTCATTCTATATCACTCCTAATTTGGAAGTACTCCAGCGTCCTATCATTTGTTTATTTATTATTACTGTGGCGCTCTGCCATCCTATCCAAGCTATAATGTTCGTTTGGAATACAAGTCCTGTTTCGTGAGCGTTATATTCTATTTGGAACTCTATCATTGTTTTTGCTGATATAACTGGGAAGAAGTGTGCTGTGTGAAATAAAACATTTACGGACTTAATTTTGTATGTTGAGAAAACATGTACCTTTTTCTTTCCTAAAGACTTTTTTAGAATTCTTTCCCAAAGGAATTTTAGCTGCAACGTAATATCTAAGTGATGTGTGTATCGTGTTTACAGTAGCTGATTTTGCAGGCAGAGAGCACGACAATTTATCAGCAATTTTCTGTTTGTGCTTGCGTGCAGTAAGTACCCGGCCTAATGATTAATACTTGTTCTGCAAATATACACTATAAACTATATTTATTTATCAACCTATTATTTGCTATATATGATAAACCGCACATTATTACTCCTTGCTTGCCGTTTGTAGTAGCAATTGGCCAAATACTCGATTTGCGTAAAATGTTAATGGTGGAAGACACTCATATGGTTGGTAGCTTCCTGTTACGATGGGCAGAGGTCGCAGTGGTCCTTCTGAGTCCTCTGTCTTCCCTTCTTGGATTTTACCAAGGGGAAGTTTCATAAAGTAAAAACATTGCACATACATGCACGGAATAGAGTGTAAAACTGCTTTCAGGGGTTAAAGTTGCCCAGACCCCGTTTCACTGCTTGTGGGGGGGTGTAGCAGGGCATGCTCTCATTACCTCCTCCCTCATACTGCAGTGCAGTGGGATGGAGCAATCTCTATCCTGATTCCCTTCTCCTCCCCATGACCTTCCCAGCTCCTGACAGCTTGCTGTGCTGTAAAGCAGCTCATGTGACTGCAGTAATCCGGAGCCAGTAAACAGCTGTGCAGGAAAATTGCAGGTTGAATCAAGCCTATTGTTCCGCACTGCAGACTAGACTCTGAGGCAGTCGCCACTGCTGCTGAGGGCTGGGAGTTTACTATATTCTACAATACAGTACACGGGTAAAACCATGCATTATGATCCAAGTGCAATACATTTTCCAAGTTGTAAGATTTCCAGTAACTCGTCTTTTCACTTGTAGTATAACTTGTAGTTTCCTTACAGATGTGGCGTTTCCCATGGCACACCTGGATGAAATGTTTTGAAAACAAATTGTTCATTTTTCTTGTTACAAATACATTTTACCCATTGATCATTTCAAATAAAGCCGTGCAGTTACGGATTATGCTATTAGCTACTGGTAGAGCTTTACATTCTCAGTAAGTAAAAATACTTGTTTTAAATTACATTAACAGTTTGTGTCTCTTGCTTCTCATCTTTTCAAGCAAGTACAAATGTAAATGTCATTGTACACTGCACAGTCACTACAATCTCACAAACTGTGTTGATAAGCTGCTTCTTGGATTTTAAAGGGACAATATAGGCGCCAAGGCCACTTCAGCTCATTGTAACAGTCTGGGGCCGGTGTCCCGGTCACACTTAGCCCTGCAATGTAAAACACTGCTGTTTTAGTGCAAACTGCAATGTTAATATTGCAGGACTTACACTGCCTCTAGTGGCTGTCTATCAGACAGCCACTAGAGGCACTTCTGGTATTTTGCTGTACTTTAGGTCGCCTAACGCTTGACATCCTCACTCTCTACACTAGGGCATCTAGTGTCCATGAAATCCCCTAGGAAAGCATTGGAGTGGGAGACAGGCAGAGGGTGTCTTCAATCTTTTTCCATCTTGGTATACGGATAACAAAAAAACAGCACGGTTGAGCAAAATTGTACATAAAGAAATGAATGCACTTACAAGAACACGAATGTAACAGGCATATCTCCACTGCAAGTGAAACACAAGGAATAAATAGATCTCTACCAAAGAAGGGGGAAATAATAACCAAGCGCGTTTCATCCAGTAGGACTTCCACACAATTCGAGTGATACTGAAGGAAAAAAACTCCCAATATTAAAATGTGCATAGGGATTTGGAATAGTGCACAAGTAACTTTGGTTTGTATGGGTTTTTTTTTTGTTTTTTTATTGTATCAGGAATGATGTGCTCAATATTAATTGCTGCCCCCTGAGAGTAATGGGTGCTTGAGCGCCGGACTTAGTTTTGTATGTTTGTATTTGCTTTTGTATTACACAGCCATGTTACAGTGCTGACACCCACCCCGTGTGTTCTCCATTAAGGGTTTATAAGTATGGAGGGGTTTAGAAAAATATCCCTCTCTGTCCCATTAGCGATTTTAGCTGAAAGCAGCAAGGTGAATTATTAGTGTAGGACTCACCTAAGAAGAGGTTTTGCCTTGACGTGGCAGATGAGCTTACACTTAAATGGCTATTGGAGTGATACTAAAAACCTCCAGTTATTTAAAGGGACACTCCAGGCACCCAGACCACTTCTGCCCATTGGAGTGGTCTGGGTGCCAACTCCCACCACTCTTAACCCTGCAAGTGTAATTATTGCAGTTTTTTTTTTTTTTATTAACTGCAATAATTACCTTGCAGGGTTAACTCCACCTCTAGTGGCTGTCTAGTAGACAGCCACTAGAGGGCACTTCCTGGTTTCTAGCACAGGAAACCTGTGCTAGAGCGTCACTGGACGTCCTCACGCTATGTGAGGACCTCCAGCGTTGCTCATTTACCCATAGGAAAGCATTTTGAGATCAGTCTCACCCACCGGCCGACGCAACCACAGGGAGGAGCGTCACGGAGGAAGAAACAGTGACGTGGGACACCTCTTCAGCAACCAGGGATTGGGGGGTGGGAGGGAGAGGGGACCTGCAGTGCCAGGAAAACGGATTGTTTTCCTGGCACTGGAGTTTCCCCTTAAATGTCCATAAGGTTTTGGATAGTGCGCAAGTAACTTTTTCTTTTCTTTTAATAAGTAAAAGGCTGGTCACCACCATGGACAATAATGTGGGTCCATTTCAGCACCTGGCATTTCATCTGCCAGGAGCCCTTGTCGTGGTTTTTCTCTCACGCATGTACAGGAGTACAACACTGAGGTCTGGATCGAGCCCCCTTAGATAAAATCTTTGCAACACTGCAATCATTAGGGACAACCAGGGGAAATGGCAAAACTTGACTATGGTAGGTTTCTCATTTTGTCTGATTTTGTCAGGTGTAGGGAATATTCATGATACAGATTAGTCCATAATTTGTCCTATGGTATCTTTTGACTGCTTTGGTATTTTAGTGAAATGCCATCACAGTCATTGTGAGTATTTCTTGAAGATTTTATCTTTATGAAATATTTATGAGAGGATGACAGTGCTACTTTAATTAAAGTAATATTTTAGAAAACATACTCCCAAACATTCCTAGTCCTCTGGATGAAATAGCCAAATAATAATCTCAGATTTTAGAAAAGGTTTATGGAGCAAAATTATATGCATGGCACGTATTATTGTTGGTAAGTAAAATAAATGTTGTGTGGGGTGCTGTTGTTAGATTTTTGTATTTTTGTGGTGGCTTACCATTATCTTTATATAGATAGATCTAAATACACACACTACATTTAAAAAAAAAAAAAAAAAGAGTTTTAGAGGAACATTGCTGTATTGATGTATTTTCATTTTTCAGTGCTGTATGTTGTGCTTGTGTTTAAATCACTTAATCAGTGCAGCTCTCCACATCTCTGGCAAGAGTGCACGGTATGATGGCTTACCTTAAAAAAACCATAATGTATTGCTGGCTCACTGCACAGCTATGTGAACTTTGCTTACTGCTCGTATTAATCTATAAAAGTGACAAGCTAGTTCTCACATAGAACATAGAAAAAGTTCTTCCTTAAAAAAAAAAAAAGCAAATTAGCAAAAGTCCATAATCACAATTTCTTTTTGAGTTAGAAAAAAACTGAAAAGACAATGCTTGAACATAAGTGTATCAGAGGCATGATTGTCTTTTAATAAAACTGAAAGGGTCTTAATCCCACACTTTGGATTATGAACATGTGCAGACTAGATTAGCCTAATCAAAGCCCCACGCCAGACCATATGCAGTGTCGGGACAATCACAAACCTGATTAATACATGTCAAAGGCTTAATCACTCCACTGTCTGTCCTATGACCTCTAATACATGGATTATTTTACATTGGCATCTTGTAGACTCGTTGCTGCTATCTCCATACTCTAGGAATGCTGTACTTACAATATCTTATGTTTTGCTAAATTCAAAGTGCAAAGTTTATTCAATTATTATTCACTACCTCCTTAAAAAAATACTAATATCTTTCAGTTGTAATTTTCAGCCTTTTCTGAATGATAGTTGTTGGCAACATTTCTGGTTCTTTTTTGTTTTACCCCCTAAAAGGGATTTTATTTATATATATATATATTTTTTTTATTTTATTTTTTTTTATCATTATTTAGATTGTTTTATCTGCCATTTATATAAAAATGCAGTTATGCTACAACCAAGAGCTTTTCCTATGAGATCTGATGTTATATCAGTTGTTAGGGTAATTAAGTTCCATACATATTGTACTGATTATGGTGCATTTGCCTGGTTTTCTGTGACACTCTACATTACATAAAGCACTTTTCCTTTGCAGATACTGCAATAAGGCAGAATATTCACTTCCACGTTATCCATCCAAACTTGGATATTAAGACTGAGAGTGGTGGGCTAACATGTCAGATAGTCATTCTTTTTTTAAGCGCCTGGCAATGAGTACGTGACACTTGTATCTAAAAAAATTAAAAAGCAAACCCGCAGTGTGTGAAAGTGTCATAAATAAATTCTGATTGCTAAGAACATGGGCTGCCAGCAATGTATTAAATGAGCTGATAAATAGTGCATTAGGCCATCGCTACGTATGTAAAAGTGAACTGCTGCATAGCACTTTTATAATACAGTGACGGCTATGTCTGTGTCTTTTTTTGCCTTGGATACAAGTGTTCCTTCTTTCTAGATGTTTAATACTAGCTGGGATATATACACACATACTTTGTTTCATGCTCTCACTATTTACAGCCGCACTGTCATGCCCAAGTTACCTTTCTCCTATTGCTTTATCTTCTCTTCCTCTCTGAATCTGTTCCTCTTTTCTTCATATCTGATCTAGTTTTCTTTAAAATGTAAAACAAATGAAGGGACTACTTTGTCTTATGTATTTTTCCTATGGTTGACCTTCTTTGATCAAAGGAGGAGGTTAAGTTGCTCCATTTCCTGTGGTCAAAGAAATTTTCCCACAATACTCACCCTCTCCCCCGTGTTCATACGTTGCTTCATTCGCCGTTCGAACGTCCTTTAGACAAAGACAAACATTGCTCTTTGCACCTACTTTACTAATACTAAATAATTTTTAAAATATATCAAAATCAAAAAAGAATCTATTGGGAATTGGCTTGCTTCAGACAATATATTGACCAAAAGAGGTTATGACCAGATATTTTTATGCCAGATAAAATTAAAACCGAAGAACAGATTGGTGAATGGAATAATATGTTGCTGGGCTGCTCATCTAAGATCATACATAGGCTTTTTAATGAAATTTGAACAAGAACATCTGGACCAAATCTGTAAAAACTTGGAGGGTGAAATCACAAAGATCAATGAATTTAACAAAAATCTAAATAAACAAATAAAAAAAACAATTATACATTTCAGAGAGATTATAGAGATTTTAAAGACAGTGACATCTTTTGACACAAAAACAGATTTTGTAGGAACTCTTCAGAGGAGACAGAGTGGTCTGCATCAGATATAACAACTTCACATAGGATTTCCAGCGATAGACCCCCTGAACATTTGCTTTTTATGTCGAGGGGCATTTTGAAACCTTCAGAGAAAAAATTCTCCTCTTTCTAACACCCCAACCTCTTCTGGTCTTTACCTCAGTCCCAGAATCTCCTGTTTTTAGAACAGGAATGCCCCATCCAAGGAGGGAACACCTTTGAGACAAATGGAAGTGGAGATACAAGAATTAGAACACAGGCACAATCCTGTTGAACAGCTGATAATATAATTATCAAGTTATCCAAATTTGCCAATGTTTACATCCTTTTGTATCAGAACTGCAATCTCTTTTAGGAGATACAAATCAAACATTCTTAGCTTTTGAAAATTGGGTTGTAAACCTATTTACTCTAATAGCCAATCTGAACATTGTTTCTCTTTACTGTAATTTCTCCCATGACAATGGACAATTGGATCGATGTTCATATTTTCTCCATAAGTCTAATCACTTAAATTCTTCTGAAAAAGAAATGATCTTGGCTTTGTTCAAATTTGTGTTCTCACATTTTTTTCACCTTTAATGGAAAATATTACCTCTTGTTAAAGTGAACAGCCATGAGGTACTTCTTACTAGGTTTTTTTGAGAAGAAACAATTGTCCATGTGCCCTCCAACTCTAAATATACATCTCACATTTGTAAGGGTTATTATATTGATGACATTTTGATTTTTTTCTGGGCCAGCACCATAGCACTGTTTGAAGAAATAGTAGAGGAATTGAACAATAATGATGTTGATCTTAAACTTACACAAATAGATGAATGTGAATTAGGATCCTACAAGATTGGTAGTGTTGAAACTTACCTACACAGGAAATCTATAGCGCCCAACAGTATGTTACACTGGGAGAATGACTCTCTGCAACCTGAAAATTGGGATACCACATGGCCAATATTTAAGCAATATGTTTTTTAAAGCAAAAAACAAAAACAAACATCCACTACAAAAACACACACTGCATTCTCTAATCAAATACTCTCACTGCATCCACTACACACACACACACATTCTTGAAAACATAAATTCTGACTGGCATGTATATTTTGTGCATATTTTAATAAGACAGATAATTTATTCTATGCAGATAACTCAGTTTCTGAATACCTGAGCAGTTAATTTAAGGTTTAAATTGTCAGTTTTGCTGAGGTGTCCGTATTTTTTTTAAATGCTACTAGCAATAGCCCATGCCAGAGCTTCTCAAACCTCTCCTAAAGGGCTGCTAATGTTCCAGGATTTACAGATATCCCTGTCTGAACTCTATTTGATAATCCTTAATCCTGCACCATTAATGATTCTCATGGGGGGATGACACTGGTATATGCCTCTTCCAATCATTGTATTATGCAAGGCTTCTGCATTAGCATGCATTTTTTCGTCTATTTTATTTTATTGTATTGTATTTATTTTTCCTGCATCTGATCACCAACAAAACTTGTAAACGTGTAGTAGTCAATATTAAAGAGGGATTCCAGGCTGAAGCCTATTATTTGAAACTATATAAATCAACCTGTCCACCTTCATGTGGTTCAATATCTGTTCCTGTCTGTGATATGTGTTGTGACATTCAGTGCTGTAGCACGGTAACCAGCAAGAATAAAGTAATTTAGAAAAGGGGAGGTGAGTGCTGTAGTGGTTATGGTCCGTGGAGTATTGCGTTAAGATGCAGAATGTTTCCAAAACTTTTATTCTTCCTATACAAAAAGTGTACAAAGATTACACATACATGTATGTACTTAAGGTAAAAGCATTAAAATGCATAAAAGTTGTGTTATCGTCTATAATCATCAACCAACCACCCTCAAAATATATATGCAGTCATACTTTCATTCAGAAACTGACCATGTAAAGATTGTTTTTGAAGGCAAATGAGGTGATAACGAACAAATGGTAAATGTAATTCACAACAGTATTGGCAGGCAGAATGGAACCTATTAAAAAGAACATAAAAACGACAGCGCAGACTGTATATAGTGGTATCCGTGCCAGTGTCAGTGTATAGAGGACACTCACGCATTTAAGAGTCTGCTCTGAACTCGGGTATTTTCAACACTCTCAGAATGATGTGGTATGCCTGGTCCCAGCAATATTTTCTTCTATATTGAAAATCAGTAACCAGTAGAGTAGTAAATAATATACTTTATTACAAAATATAAAAACACAACAAACTTTAGAGGTGAATATCTCAGCACAACGCATTTTGACCACAAACGGTCTTCCTAAGGTTCATATCCCTATAGAGTTCAAGTTATCTAATTTATATCCAAATAAATCATAAAATCCCGAACAGGTGTAGCATTATTAATGCCCAAATATGGTATTTCCGAGATAATCCGCCATTACCCATCGGGTGGAAATTGTCAGGTGATATCCCGCAAGCAATCCCAAACCTCCCAATGTGTCAAAAATCCACCCACAATACCACTGTTCGTGTTCCACCTCTTCCGTCCATTCCTTGCGTCGGACTGAGATCTTCAAGATTGTGCTCCATTAATTTTGTCATGTGTGTTCCGGACGTCATCACATAGCAGTGATGACATCATACATCCATGTCCTTAACCCAGAACTGGGACAGCCTGTCCCTTAAGTCCTCAGCCACCATTTAAAATATGGGAAAGAATATGGGCAATAATAAAAGAGAACAGTGAGCAGTCATATAAAAGAGAGGAGAATGATTGATGTATAAAACATTAAATGAATTAATGGGGGGGATAAAATACATATATCGATTAAAAATCGACATTAAAATTGAAAGATTCAAACAATGATAAAATTGTTATGTGATCCACATTTAAAGTGCAAAAGTCAAAATGAGTAGTATTGCAAATAAAAGATTAAATAATTATAGAAGGGTGCCAATACCAAAATCTATATTTAACCATTTTGGGGACAGTGTCTGCAGTTCAAATATCCATTTTCTCTCCTGTCTGTCTAGACTGCAGGTACTGTCCCCACCCCTCCAATGATTAGTCAGCAGTCTAGACACAGGAGTTAAAATAGATTTTTGAACTGCAGACACTGTCCCCAAAAGGGTTAAATATAGATTTTGATATTGGCACACTACTATAATTGTTCAATCTTTTATTTGCAATACTTAGAAACATAGAATGTGACGGCAGATAAGAACCAATCTGCCCATCTAGTCTACCCAAAATAATAATAATAATGCTACAACTCTTCGGGATTTTACGATTTATTTCAATATAAATTAGAGAACTAGAACTCTGTAGGGATATGCACCTGAGGAAGACCATTTGCAGTCGAAAGGCGGTTGTGCTGAGATATTCACCTCTAAAGTTTGTTGTGTTTTTATATCCTGTAATAAAGTAATTTTGTTTACTTCTCTACTGGTTACTGATCTTCAATATAGACGGAAAATATCGCTGGGACCCGGCATACCACATCATTCTGAGAGTGTTGAAAATACCTACTGAGTTTAGGCTCTTTAATGTGTGAGTGTCCTCTATACTTCTTGCACGGATATCACTATATACAGTCTGCCCTATGTTGCTTTTATGTTATTATTAATAGGTTCCATTCTGCCTACCAATGCTGTTATGAATTACATTTACCATTTGTGCGCTATCACCTAATTTGATTTTCATGTATGTATAAGTGTTTTTATGGCATAACACTTGCCAACCTATTATCGTAAAGGGACCTGTTAAGTTATTAAATGAGTAAATGGGTTCAAGGTAGTCTAATGCCCTCTTGCTTGATGTAACATAAAAAAATATTCATTTTGTTTTTCTTTTCCTTTCAGGACTTGTCCAGATTCCAGTCAGTATGTATCAAACTGTGGTCACAAGCCTGACGCAGGGTAATGGACCTGTACAAGTTGCTATGGCACCAGTTACTGCTAGGATATCTGATTCAACTGTCACTGTAGATGGGCAGGCAGTTGAGGTTGTAACACTGGAGCAATGACTGTCACGCCAAGGAAGAATCATGATGTAATTTCCTGTCTCCATTGTGTGTCCTGTTTTCTGATCTGAAGTGCTTCTGGACATCCACAACGGATGCTATTCTGTGAGGTCCTGGGTGTTTGAAACGGAACTCCAAATTAAGCATCGTAAACCCTCATTTTTGTTCATTTTAGCTGAGCTGCTCATTTGCTGTTTTCTCTTCCATTTAATTTATTTGAATACACACATTTTTTTGGGAAGTGCATCAGCCCAGGAGAGAACGTACCATGCACTGAAGGGGAGAAGAAAAAAAAGCCATGACTTTTTATTTTCCCTTGTCTTCATACTCTAGATTCTTTAACTGCATCTCAGATTGCAATAAAGGGGACTATTCTGGAAGGAAAAAGGAAAAAATGCTAGCTTTTAATATGTCCTTTTTGGGAGATTGGGTTGGGGGTGGTGAGTGAATGAAAATGAATTTAAGCTGTGTCTGCCCTTTTGTCCACCTACATCTGTGGGTTGACTTTGTAATATACATTTCTAAATGCCTGCTTTGTAAAAAAAAAAAAAAAAAAAAATTGGTGGAAATAAGATGTGCTCAAAGTCTGGCCAACAGCCTGTATGTCATTAGGCCACTGTACAAGAAATTTTGAAAACCTTGAGTCTTGAAGCGGTACCATTTCATAGATCAGGTCAGTCAGGATCTAATGAGGTTGTTTCTCCAGTTTATGGTGGCTGCATCATCTGACTTTGTAGTACCTTCCACCATCTCTTTTCTGAGAGAGATTCACCTTGTGTCCTGATATTTCCCCTAGTGATGACTACTAAACATTTCTCTGGCATGCTATTAATTTCTAGAATTAAATAATCAAGTAGCTGTCTTTCAGCATGAAGGATGGATCCAGGAAAATACAAAAATAAAAATGCAATTGCCATCTAGTGTAATCAGTGCTTCTATGAAATTGATTGTTTCTTGCCCAAAATAAAATTACATATGGGCTAAAATACATTCACACACAGTATTGTGTTGAATAAAAGTTGGTGTAAACTGCTTAAAAAGAGAACATGATAGATACACACATCTAAAATGTATACTTCTAAAATGTTCATATAATAATTGTGCTAATGTGCGTTGATCATTTGGACTTTGTTTCTTGCATATTTGTGTTGCTAGGCATCTATGTTAATATCACAATGTTCTCTGGGATCATTCAATGATCCAAAGTCCTGAATTACTTTCTAGTAGGCTGTGAGATTCTTAATATTCCCTGAGCAACTTACTACTCATATGTCAGGCATGCATTTTTTTAACTAATAAAACGTACAATTGATCACAGCTAATAAAGGAACCATAGAAAAGGTAATTTAGGACAACACATTGCAAATTTTTTTTTTTGTGTGGTTGATTATCATTATACATTTCTGTGCACATTAACAATGATCACCTTTTTTTGCGTTATTAGTTACTCTGAGGACTTGTGGATCCACGTTTAATGGAACCTGGGTTTTGTGTGCCCAGTGACCTTTTTCCCTGAGTGCGGTGTGATGCTATGGTGGATTATACTTTAATTGCTGACGACCAGAATGAAATGCGAATTGGTCGTTTTGCTCATGAACAGCTCTTGGATAAAATGTCAAGATGGCACAAAGTTACAACACTTGTTTTTACAAATCTTATTGAGATTATTACAATTTGTGATCTCCTCTTCTACCAGAGGTTTATAAATCAGCGTTATCTTCCTTTTTCTTGTAAATATCATAAATTTAGAAGATAGTGTAGGGAAAGACTGTTTTAGAGATTTTTTTTTTTTTTTTAAACACAAACATGATGGTGACAATGTATCCTCATGGTTTGGCTTTCTAGATCAGGTTTAGAAGGGCTGAGCGGAGCTTCATTGCATCTGATAAAGTAATCCAGACAAATTAACCTTGTCACTGGGAGTAGTCTACTTTATAATCGTAGTTCAGGTGTAACTCATGTTTTACCATTGCTACTCGTGTCATGTGTCATGTTTTTAGATTTGAAACATTTGGGTTATAAATTAAGTCATAAGGGTTTTAGTTTTACACTTTGCTAGTTTTAACTGAGAAATCATGGACTTCGTACTGTTGAAAGATTTGTAATGATGACCATGATGCATTATCCAAATTTATGAAATATTTTGATCCCGGGGGGGCAGGGGGGGAGGATTTAGGTTGTTTCTTTTGCAGAGTTTTTGAATTCATTATATATGCAGTCTCTTACTTGCTGCTTTTAAATATCCATGTATCACAGTAACATATGTTCGAAATATGCAGGTTTAAGAGATATATAAAACAATAGGAATGAGTATTTGAGAGTTTATTCAGATTTATGGATTAAAATCCGATTCCCCATTTCTTGTTTTGTGTGAGCGCCAGTTTGCTTCCAAAGACAATTCCATCCGTTTTCAGTAAGCTTTGTATATACAAATGATATGAACTAGCAATTCTTTGTCCTCGTTATTTTTTTGCCTTGAATTATTTTGTCACCTTTCCTGCTGTAGGTAGGATTGCTGTGTCACTTGGGGGCCTGTGTCCTGGTTAGGATTATTTAAATACTTCTGCTGTGTTTTATACAGAAATATTGTATGTATATTATTTGGTTTTTCTTTGCTACTCCATCAATGTCTAGGGCAATGTTGATAATCTATTAACTGGTCTAGCCTCTAGAACATTTTATTTTTATCTGTTTTGAGGATTCCCAATGACTGAATTGTTTTGTTTACTGCAACAAAATGTATAACCGAGAAAATACATTGAAAAGAGAAAAAGAAAATTGTATCTCTGAAATGTATCTTGGCATTGAATGAAATATGTCTTACTCTTTCAGTGTGTGCTGCATTGAGAAAATAAATTGTTTAAAATGTGTGTATCCGTAACTTGTATGAGTAACCATTCATATAACAGATGTTGACCATATTATAAAGTCATAGAGATGGCAAATGTTTCCTCTGCATCTTTATAGGCATAACTGAAGCCATCAAATGCATAAGTACTATATAGTAGCTTATACAACCTAAATCATTACAGATATCTGATATCTGCCAATTATCATGTTTTTTGTTTTGTATTTTATAATAAAAACTAGTTTAGAGTGACTGAATAAAATATGGTAATATAAAAAAATTTTTAGTCGTGAATTAAAAAAACAAAACAGCAAATCTAAACATAGAGCCATTGTATGCATTGTCTGAAACCCCTAAGAAACTTTTATATTTTGTCCCGAAAGCTGTATTTCTGTGCTTATGTCTGTTTGTTTATTGTTATATTAAAAGGGTGACAATCCTTATGGTCACACTTATTTAAGCAGATTTATTGGGTCAAGAGAAAAATGACTGGTCCCACTATGAGACCTTTGTCAAAACTTGACAAAGGTTTTGTAGTGACACTGAAACGTGGTCATTTGTGTTGAAGATTTTTGCCGTAACTGGTGTTAGTGCATCAACCGAGACTTCTGGTTGAGTGCTTATCCTTCTTTACTATCTTCTAAATCCTTATTTGTGTGACTGGGTTAATTTGATCGTTAATGATGAGAACACTTATTTCCCTTTTTTTTTTGGCTCTGCCTTCAACCACATGACCGCTTAGGGGGTATACATTCTCTTTAATCAGGTTGAGATTCTTGGTTGATAAGGGTTTCCTATCAGCTGGCACTGTTTCCATGCTGAATACCACTTGTAGTCAGCAGAATGTAAGAAGCAGATTAAAATATAGTTAGTGATGCTGGCAACTATTGATAGTATACACTATATAATTATGCAACAAAACTGTTTATAAACCAAATAAAGCGAACAGATGTTAGTTATCGGTTACTGCAGTACCATTGATAAGTAAAAAGGAAATTCACTATCATTTAGGAGGACATGTATAGTCTTTTCAACACACCCCAAGCTGCACAGACACTTCAAGCTGGTATCCTAAAGAAACCTTTTAGTTATATTTGTTGGCCACTCCTTGGGTGTGTACAACTATCTCCCTTAATTGCTCTGCTACAATTGTTCCAGTATAAGCAAGGGTAAGTGCTTACTTTATGTTAAATTGTCTGCTTTGACTACCATAGTACGTATAGCATGGCCTTTTTATATCATAAGAGGGATCTTTAAAAGGGTAAAGGTGTCCCAACTGTCTATCCAGTTGTAAAATGTCAGTTCTCATGTATAATGCTTTGGATCTGGCAGGATAAAGTGTACAATTTACTTAATAAAATAAGTCAGATTTAATTCTGTGTGGTGTTGAGAGCAGATGCATCAATTAAGTTTTTTTTTTTTGCCTGGAGAACAACGGTGGTTGTATCCCTTTCCAATAAACTTTTTGGACATAGTGGTTAAGCAGGTATCCACTAATGAGTCTTCACTGTATGGGATAGAATTAATTTGTTTAGACCAGAAAGCAAACACACAGTCTACACTTAATCTAGGTTTTTGTATGATATTGTGTTCAAATTAACAAACGGCAAGGAATTAGTATATTCAAAGATATGTAAGCTGCTGGCTACCAAAAGCCACAGAATATCTCATGTGACAGTCTCTGTAAAGAGGTTTAAAGAGATACTGTAGGCACCAAACCAACTTTAACATAACAAAGCAGTTTGGGTGTATAGTTCATGCACAGTAGTGACTCTGGGAACAATGCACAGTGGGTACATAAGATACTACAATCAAAATTGGGGGGGTGCACCAATAATTTCCACCCCTGCAGAGTTGTTGCAGGGGTGATTGTGGCTGTAGTGGGTGCAAGGGAGGAATATAGGTAATGGAGACGGTTAACAGGCTGTTGTGGGTGCGAAGGGGTGGTGGAATAGGGGCTGTAGTGGGTGCAGGCGGGAAAGGCTATAGAGGGTGAAGAGGATTGCTAAAGAGCCTTTATCAAGAACTCGATGGGCAAGTTGAAAACAACTCTAGAAGATCAATTCCAGGATAACACAAGTGGCAAGGTGATGCGCTATCCCAATGCTTTTCTCTATAGGCCTCAGGCAGATCATCATAAAGAGTAGATATGGATACAGGTTCAAGAGTGAAACTACCATCAGCTTTCTACTCTACATGGATGACATCAAGCTGTATGCCAAGAGTGAGCAGGTAATTGATTCACTGATCTGCCTAACTAGGACATACAGCAAGGACATAAGAATGTTGTTTTGACTAGGTACGTTTCGGCAGAAAATTGCAAAAAGAGAGAAGATGATCAGGACAGAAGGAGTTCAAGAAAGTAAAATATAAGATGTAGAAAACTGCAACAAGTACCTGGGGGCACCACAAACACATGACAACCATGTGGAAGAGGCAAGGATAGCAACATCCAGGTACTTCTAGAGAGTCAAACAGGTCCTGAAGTCCCAGCTCAATGGCAATTACAAGATCCAAGCCATCAACACATATATCCTACCATTTATTAGGTACCTAGCTGGAATAATAACCTGGCCAAAAGAAGAGCTGATCACCATGGACTAACAAATCACTATGAATGGAGGATTCCACTCAAAATTCAGCACCCAGATACTGTATACTAGCTGGAAGGAAGGAGGTCGTAGCCCTATAAGTGTGAAGGCCACAGTCCTGGATGAAATGCAGAGCATGCACAAGTACATCACAAAAAAGGCTCCCAAAGATGAACTTCTAATGGAAAGCCTAAGACAACAATAGATAGCGAATGCAGAAAAGGTAATGGTTCCATGGCAAGACAAACCTCTCCATGGGGTGTACCACTTGCAGATCGTGGATGTGACTCACATTACAAACTCCTACCAGTAATTGGAATATGTAGAACTGAAAGACAGCACTGAGACAATAATCCTAGCAGCTCAGGAACAGGCACTCAGCATCAGATCAATAGAAGCAGGAGTCGCCCACACCAGGCAAAACCCAAGGAGCAGACTGTGCAAAGAGGCATCTGAGACAATCCAGTACGTAGTAGTCGGGCGCAAGATGTTGGCAAAGACAACATAGCCAAGTTGCTGGAATTGTGTACCGAAATATCTGAATCAAATATGGGCTGGACCCATATTCCATAAGTCCAGATAAAAGATACCACAAAGGATAGTTGAGAATGACAGGGCCAAAATCCTGAGGCACTTTCAGATACAGAGAGACAAACAAGTAGTGACCAACCAACCTGACATCGTAGTGGTAGTCAAGGAACAGAAAACTGTAGTGGTGGTGGATGTGGCAATACCCAGTGACTATAACATCAGGAAGAAGGAACATGAGACATACCACAGACTGGAAGAAGAGCTAGACTGCAATAAGCTATAATGGTTGCTTAGTGTCCTTTTAAAAAATATATTTTGAAAAGTAACAATTTTATATTCTTATTTAAAAAGAATAAAGTTGAAACCTGAGACTATATCACAAAATTTCATATGCATGTGCAGGGCCTGACTAGGAATAAATGTGGCTGGTATTTCCTATTACAAATAAATAAACGGTATGTAGAGTAACAATGAACCCCAATCATGGCTGTCTATGCCACTAAAAAAATCACAGTCCATCAGGATTATAAGGCATACAAATCGAGAGAAGGAAAATGCTAGTGCAATTATGGTGGTTTTATTCAGTCATCACAGAGATGCAACGTTTTTATACACTGTGTGTGTCAAAGTGTCTTTCTCAAGCCATAAAGTCCATCATTCATTAAAAATAGGTATGTACCTTTTTTTTTTTTTTTTGAGGAGCTACAGCTTGGCTTAAAGTATCAGCTGACTCCTCTAGCCAATCACTGGCACTCCTGCCTGGTGGCACTCCACGCTCCTTAAAACTCAGTTTCAGAAGTCAGATGCCGTTGGAAACCGCCTTTGAGGTTCAACTGGCACACACTGATGCACTGATTCACACGCATGCACTGTTACACATACACACCTGCTGTTATACATGTATACACCCAAATACACTGTTAAAAATATATACACTTTGCAGCACATATACACATGTATCTGCATATGCACACATACACACATTCAAACACTCACAGATCTACTTACTACAAGCAGCTCTGGGAACAATGACATCCATTCATGAGCAAGGCTAACAAGTAAATAGGGGTGCTCTTCTGCAAATTTGAGCACCAGCATCATTTTGGCAGATAAGAACCTGACCCCACATAGCTTTGTGGACAATACTCCTTCATACTTGTATCCTGGCCCTTTGCCTGCATGATTGCTTCACAGCCAATAGAGTGATCATGGGGTAGGAATTGGACTGTCCTGTAGTTTTTAGGGACCCTCTCCATAGCAGCTGTCAAACTGCTCCTGCCTTATTTTTCTCCTCTGCACAGCCCACTGTGTGCTGGGAGGGAGTGAAGTTTAATGACTTCCTGCCAGGACTGCAGCCACTGCTCTCTCTGGTTGCCAGTTATGCAAGCCAAGTCTTGTGACCCATTTATACCAAGACAAGAGCCCAAAAAATGGGACTATGCCCTAGTCATCAATCATGTTTTTTTCCCCATCAATCATATATTTTTTGGTACCACAGGCCAAGTACAGAATGACGTACCAAAATGATTATGCTCGGCCATTGCGCGTTTCAGTTGGCCTGTGATTCTGGTACAATTTAGCTTGTATCTCAAAAATTCGACGACCACACAATCGGGCCAGATCTCAAATTTCAAAACAAATCTCCAAATATAATTATTACAATAATCCACAGTTCTGGCCAAGCTGTTTTTAATTAAATGTTCTACCGATATTAGAGCACTCTAGAGGGCACAGAGGGCTGCATTTTTTGGGTTCATGCCCAAGGTCATCCTCTACTTGAAGAGAAAAGGGAATAAAGGATCAACTAGCTAGGATCTTTCAGATTCCTAGAGATTTGGACCCATGGACTCTTCTGCTATATTGACCTTGAGAGGGGTTTACTAATTATCAATAAAAACTTTTCATTACAATTACCTTAGCAGCCTGTAGGGAGCTAGCTGAATTATACAACTCCTTGTCTTACAGGAGTGATTACCAAAATTAAGCATCTTAAAATTAACAGCTTTGGTCCATAATAACTTTTATCCTTTCCACAAGATACAGGACTTCTGGACAGACTTTGTAGGAGAGTAATATTGCATGGTTTATGATGCTAATAATCAGCTTGTCTTGTGCATATCCTCTTTCCTTCATATTTCTTGTTCTGCTAATATCTTCCTTAAAGGACCACTATAGTGCCAGGAAAACATACTCGTTTTCCTGGCACTATAGTGCCCTGAAGGTGCCCCCACCCTCAGGGTCCCCCTCCCGCCTGGCTCTGGAAGGGGGAAAGGG